GGTGCTGCACCGGTTGAGTAGTCCTCGACTTACGACCGATTGAGTAGTCCTTGACTTATGACCGGTTGGGGGTCGCGGCATTAAAAAGGTTGAGAACCACTGTTCTAAGTCAAGGTATCTCACCATAGATGTGCACATATATGTAGATTTACTCAATTATTCAACTGATTAATTGATTAATGCAATCAATTGACAAAAAATAGTGATGATTAATCAATTGTGATAGTAATGTTTTGGTCCATTTATATTTTCTTACAATTGAGAGTGGAAACTCTTAAGGCAGGCATGTCAAACTCGCAATGTCACGTGACGTCACACAAAGTATTGGAGCTTTTTCGCCATTGCCGGCAATGGGGTGGCCGTGGCTCTGGTATGATGAAACGGGCCTGCAGGCTGGCAGTTTGACACCCCTGTCTTAAGGGAAGGACTAATTGATGATAATATTCAAGAGCAGGGCCTTACTTCAGAAAGCACAGGGCCAAGACTTAATTGAGTTTTTACTTAAAGATATACTTGACCCTGACCTTTCCATGAGAGAATTTTAGTCTCAGGAATTACTGAGGACTGGGTGCTGATTTGAGTGAGCTTCTTACTAGAACTGATGACAACAGCTTTCTAAAGAAATGAACAGCATTTTAATTTCCCATAATGCTTGGTTGTTATTTACTCTTGAATGTCACCCTGGCACTCATTGGGGGAAACATGATCTACCTCCTGAGTTCCAAGAGGAAATAAGGACATTATCTTTCTGTTTGGTAACAATACTTGGCGCGAGGTTAACTTTTTGGCTAATAAGCAAGGCCAAAATCTGAAATATAAACAAATTGGTTTGCTTAGAAAGGGCTTTTTGTTTATTCACAACTCATTGCCAGACTGTTCCTTATAAAGTAAAGGATATTTCCCCGAAAAGGTCCTCTGCTGTGGAGGTGACACCACCCAGAGTCACCCTTTGAGGGAGATGGGTGGTTTCTAAATTAAAACTTACAATGGGTATATGTATGCATGTTTGTGTGTAGGTTTGTGTGTGTGTGTGTGCGTGTGTGTAACAAGCACACAATCAAATACATACATACATACACACACACCATTTTAATGCCTGTTGGTATAATGGTAGGCCTTATTCCAGGCCTATATGCATTAACTGCTGAAGCTGTCTGCCTCTAAGAAATCAATTGGAGGGTCTTTACCACAATACCTACTGTCCTCCTCTTCACAATACCCTGAAAGGTTAAATATCACCCAATTAATCAAATTGTCATACTGAAGCTAAGAGATGTTATTCTTTTCCAACTGACGAAAAAGGAGCAATGTAAGGAACAGGTGGTCCTGGAATTAACTTGTTTTGGCTAAAAGAATACTGAAATCTTTTCTTTGTAATTCTGTTCTTACATAGAAATACAACCAAGTGGGTTAGGGCGATGCAACCAATTATGATTCAGTAAACAAAACCATGATTTAAAATGGTGGTTGAACAGAATGCCAGTCTTCACTTTTATCAAACTCCCTCTCAAGTTTGTGTATTTTAAATTTCATCTCCAACCTGATTTCCTGCAGATGTGGAGCTTTATGAATCCCATCATCCTGCATAGTCCGCACAGAGAAGGGTCTTCTTAAGAAAGGCTACCCTAACAACATCTCATCATGGCTGTTTTCACCCACAAGGCAGTTCTTTGCCCTGGCCTAGCTTAATTCTTCTGCTTGTTTCTCTACCATCAGAGAACAGAAGAGGGAAAGATCCCTGTCAGTTTGGGTTTTTCAAATACTTTGACTGGAATTACAGCAAGGCTTCAAAAGCACTAACTGTTCGTTTTTCTTTGTTCCCATTAAAGCTGAAAATTCCTAGCCAAAGTAACAAGGATTCCCATTTAATTTTGACAGTTCGACCTGAGTTAGTCAAAAACCACCCAAAGGTAAATGGAATAAAGGCAGCAAAGGGTGGTTTGTGGGTCGGTTTTTGGTGTTTTGTTTTTGTTCTGTGGGTCAGTGACTCCTAAATCTTTCTTTGGCATACAAATCAAAAATCTCCCTCCAAAGTCGGTCTGTGTTGAGGATGATTATGAACTAAAATTTGGACAGCAAAATTAAGCATTGCTGATGCTGTGTTCAGGGGAGGATTTTAAAAACTTGATCAAATATACATTCCAATAATATCGTTAAGTCCAGCCTCTACATTGCCCTAAATCAGTGTTTCTTCTTAAGAGTTGTGGAATTACCCAGGCAGCATGCTGGCTAGGGAATGCTGGTAATTAAAGTCTGCATGTCATAAAGTTGCTGAAGTTAAAGAAAAAAGATAAAGGTTACCCCTGTCCAGTTGTGCCTGACTTTAGGAGGTGGTACTCATCTCCATTTCCTAGCAGAGGGAGCCAGCGTTGTCTGAAGACACTTCCATGGTCAGGATTAGACTGGACAGGACAGCAAAGGGGGATAACCTGGATTGGCTTGGATGGCTTTTCACATACTATGGCTAGAAGAGTTCTTGGCCAAACAATTTGTGCAAATGCTTTCATCTGTTTTATTCTGTCAGTCTATTTCTTGGTGTGTCTTTTCAGGCTGGCAATGTTGTAAACCTTATGTAGAGCTACCATATCACATTGTTTTAAGTTAACCTATCACTTAGGAATCTCCTCCAATGTGATGAAAGTGAGTCCCTGGACTCCATGCTCTTTTGAACCATTCCCCCTCATTTTGAGAGGGGGGAAGCTCTCATATGAGGAAGTTCCACAACACTAATTATGGAACCAACAATATCTAGTTGATTTATGGTGCCTTTGAATTAGTATTGACTCCTGGCAACTGCCTGGACAAGTCTCTGAAGTTTTCTTGCTAAGGTTGTTTTTTTTTTTTTTTTTTTTTGAATTTGTCATTGCCTGTTACTTGGGACTGAGAGGGATTGACTGGCTCAAGGTCACCCAGCTGGCTTGTGCCTAAGCAGGACTAGAACTCATGATCTCCCAGTTTCTAGTCTGATGCCTTAACTATTACAGTATATCAAATGGGCTCAGGTTGAATAATTCAGTTCAATTTCACTTCCTGTGCTAAGCACATTGGGATACAAGATACTCCACAGTTGAATATTGCAATAAGTAGCAAATTATTATGTTTTTTAAAACCTGTTTTTTTAAATTAAAAAAAATCAGAATTCAAAGATCTGTGTTAGGGTGATGCCATTGAACATGACTTAAAAGTAAGCAAGAGCTGGTGATATTATGACTTAAAAGTAAGCAAGTTTGCAGGTGATATTATTCAGGGTAGTAAAAACCATACCAAATATGAAGAGTCTCTTAAATATCACTCAAATAGTAAATTCAGTTTAACTAATGTATATTAAGGCAAAAACTCTTAATTTCACATACACATTGAGCTCTCTGCAACTAACCATTAAAAACAAATCCTTGAGGACATAATGAATCAGACAATAAAGATGTCAGTTCAGTGCAGGGCTGCTGTAAAAAAGGCAAATTCTATGCTGTAGATCTTTAGGAAGAGAGCTAGAAATAAAAATGCCAACATTTGTTTATACAATCTCAGGATCTGAGATATTACAATTCTGGTTGTTGTGCTTTTAAGGTTTAGAATACAGCTGGAAAAAATTGCGGAATGGAGCCACCAAGTTGATCAGAAGCCCAAACATTTTCCTACAATGGGAATCATGTATCTTATGACTACTGAAGTTTCAAATATGGAAACTAAAGAAACCAAGGTCATAATGGGGCTGACCTCACAATCATTCAAGTGGTTTTTTTGTCTGTTTCCTTTGTTTCTATATTCCTATTATTTGCACAAAAGTTTTATAGTTTGTTATTGGGAATTGACACAGAAACAAAAAGAATGCCAAGGTGAAATGGAGGTGGTGGAAAATATCAATGTAATGCTGTCATCTAGTGGACAAAGAAAAATTATTATTGCAATACTAAAATATTATACAGTTGCAACCTGCCTTAATTAAGGTTGTTTGCAGATGCGGCCACCACTATAGGTGCCATTCAGAATATTGTGGTCAGAGTAATACCATTACTTGTAATCTTACAACACATTAAGGTCTGGTTTGTACACATATAATACACTTGTAACTCATGTAATACATATGTAATAAAGTATGGTTCACAAACCACACATCTTAAGTCAAAATACTGTAAAGTCTTGTTAAGTTTTCAACTTTGAATATAGTGCCAATCCAGCCTTTGGTTTGGTTTCGGTTTCAATTCATGTATTCTGAGTAACAAAGTCTTCTATGCACACTACAAAGTGTTTCTGCACTTTGACATCATTATTCTACCAAATGTTCTTTTAAAAAAATCATGATCAGAAAAATAATGTGTTTAACAGGCATACAAAAACAATTATATATTTGATCCAGTTAATAAATGTTTTTGATTTTACTTATAATATAAACTTTAAATTAAAATTGATTTTAAAAATCATATTATTTGATGGGCCATATTGAGAATATGGAATAGATATAAACCAGGGTGGTGCCCAAAAATTCTTCTGTGGATTTCAGCATAGCAAGCATTTCTTAGAAGAGAAGCAGCAGGTGAACAGGAGGAATTATTGGAAAATCCTCAAGGGGAATATAATATTAAATCAGGAGAGCAACTAATAGCAGAAGGTTATAGTTGTCAATGGTCTTCCTATTTACAGTTAGCAGAATGATTCAAATTAGGTTAAAAAAAACTTATGGAACAAAAGAAGGCATAGTCTGAAGTACAATATGCACCTATATTGAACATATAATTGCTAATTTTTTTAAACACCTTTGTTGATATTTTAACAGAACAAGAACAGGTTAAAGAATGTATGATAAAATGGGCCAAGAATTTTAGTTGTAATATACAGATGGTTCAGTGGGAAAACATGCAGTTAAAAGGGTTGAAATTTATATTAGGGTTGTGAACTTAAAAATAATGCAACTTGAACTTTCATAATAATGCAATTCTGGGTGATGTATTTATTTACTGTCATTCATTTGCTTACAATACAAAATAAACAACCATGCAGTGTTACTAGACAAACTGGTAAGACAAAACATCATGGTCTAGAGATCAACTGATTAGACAAATAATCTCAACAAAAGAATGGATAAACAGATACAATGAATTTGGTCTGCAGCTAGAAATTTTAAAGTCTGAAAACGAAATAAAAGAAGACACTATTCCAGAAAACAGAAAAGATAATCAGAGCTACTTTAATTATCCACTATTAATGGAATATAATAACTGAGTCAGTTATAGATGAATAAGATAAATTCATGAAGGACAGATTTGCCAATCACTATTTAGTCATGAACTGCCAAGCTCAGAAAGCCTCTTTCATGGTGGCATCTAACTAACTTCCTAGAAAGGCCCAATGGGACCTTCTTTATGTTGATTGCATGAAGAACTCTTCTCCACACCCACCAAGAATGTGGGAGATTGTGCAGATTTTAATAAACATGATTATTTAAAGCATACGATTTGTGCTTTCCCTTTTTACTGTGTCGCTTTATATAAAATATTCATGTTTTCAGTGATATATCCTTCTTGTTTTGTCAGGACTCTTCTATTTTAAAGTTTTGTCACCTAAAACCATCCAGAGACTCCTATTACTAGGCAGGGTGCAAAGAATGATGATATTGATAACACTGATTAAAAAAACAAGATATAAATCCTAAAATGTATTCTTCCCAATCCCAGTTCCTGAAGAACATTGACTTATGGACTTTCCACAGACATTTAACAATCAGCGATTGAGGGCCTCTAATCTAGTCAGGCAGGGCTACATCAAAAAAACAAGACAATAAAGAAATACAAATGACTTGTTTACAAGCAGCAAACTTATTTTTCAACAAAAGGTAATGCAAGAATAAAACTTGTTTTCCACCAAAATGTAATGCAAGAATGAAACAAATTGTCATTGAACATTTCCCTCCAAAATATCTGATTTGCAATTGACAAGCTTCTTGTTCCTCTTGTTTGGCAAAACCTTTTATTGACTTTCTACATTTAAATGGACTGGGTGCCTACTCATTTTTTCCAGTACTGCAGACAATTTACTTAAATGAGGTAAGATCCTCACTATTCTAATGGTTGTCTTATTCCTACTATAAATTAGGACCATTATTTTACAAAAGCTTTTCCAAAACATGGCAGAGAGTTATCAATTCCTCTTTCAAGTGAGCGGCAATTTCTGATACTTTCTGTGGTGAATCAAGAACTTCCACACTGCAGGTAACGGGGTTGTAGTGAAGAGGAAAAGGCTTCTTGATCGAAAGAGCATATTTCCTGTGGAGCAAGGTACAAAGGATGTATCTCTGGTCTGAAGAAAACAATGGTCTTTTCCAGTTGCATGACAACATAATGTACCATCAGCTCTAGCAGTAAAGCAAGATTTTTTTTTTTTTTTGAAGATCGGTGTGCTATCTGAAATATGAGTGCAACCTCATGGTTCTTCCCCAGCCTTTGACTGACCTACACATATATCATTAGGGTTTTTAATAACAACCTTCAAATGTTAAAAAAAATGTGAAGGTCGTAGTAACCTTTATTTCCAAGAAGATATCTGGGACTACTTTTTGGGAAAATAAAATGGATGAATAGCTGTACCCCAGTATGTCTAATTGCCCAGAAAAAGGATAAGTAAACATAGGTAGCATAGAGTGTTCTAAGGAAGTGAGTGGCTAGAACAATTGTCGTACGTACTTTGTAACTGGTTATGTCCATCATGGGAATCATTCTTTGAATGGGTCTCACCAGCAAATAATTTATAATTGCATCCTCAGTATATTTATATACTCCAAAGATATTAATGCTGATTGTCTGAAAAGACCAGGAGTCCCTGATACATGTTAATGAAAGAAGTTCTAAATCAAGATTACACAACTTTTTAAAGTTGGGGGCTCCATTCACCTTGAAAGTCACATCGAATTCATGACCAAATATATATATATATGGATGGAATTACTTTGCTTCAAATAAAGTTTAAAATTAATTAACATGTCATTAAATTGCCAAATATGATTAATGATTATTCCCATATATCTAATAGTTTTCCTTCTCCCAAATTGAAAATCATAATTCAGCATCAGTTTCACAAGAACTCTGAAGAATACATTTGATCATTGACATCTAGAGATTGCAGGTATTGTACTCGTGCTATAAATCCAGATCAACCTAATCTGGTAATATGGATCTACCATCTTTATACTTACTGTAGCTGAGACTTTGCATCTTCAAAACAGTCTGCTACAAAGTAAATGGGTTGAAAGGTCTGGTCATGATAAGGTTGGACCACCATCACATCTGGATCAAAGGGTTTATATTCTGGCTTTTCTGATAAAGCATACTTTTAATGAAGAAGATCAGAAGAATTCATTTTAGATTGAAGTCAACTCTGTTGACAACACAATAGATAATTGAGAGCAACCAAGGAGATGAAGTGAATGGATGGATAGGGTGGTTGAGTGAAATTTCCATGAAATCCATGGAGCTTCAAGAAAAGTTGTTTTAAATTTTGCTTTCCCACATCATAGAAACAGTTTTCAGTGCAAACCAACATTTAATTCAGCTTTTTCAGAGTTCAGATTTATTTGATTTGCACTTTGCTAATGTCCGGCTTTATACATTTTTAAAGACAGGTGAGAAGGAGCAATTCTAGTCTCTATTTTTTTTTTGCTGTTTTCCAAAAAAGAAAGTTTTTCTTTTTAATTCTTAAATGTACATGGAACTTCTTTCATCCAGAGTAGAAGGAGATTCTCCCAATGTAATAAAGCATATCCTTTGGAAGGTTCTACACTTCTAGTAAATTAATAATGAGCAACTTCCTAGATTAGTTAAGAAAGGCGAACCAATAACTCTTTGAAGAGGCTTAGCCATGGCTTAGGCAAGATGGTTTTCTCCCTGGCTCCCAGAGCTATCAAACCTGTTGGAGATGGCTATTTTATTATTTCTTTGTTGGGAGATTCTATATGGTGCAAGCATGTGGGTGATCATTGTTCTCTCCTTGATCCAGAGAGGAGTTCCAAGAAGCTGATCCATTCACCAGTTCCTCTAGTCCAGGGGTCAGCAACCCACGGCTCCAGAGCCACATGCGGCTCTTTCATCCCTCTGCTGTGGCTCCCTGTCCTCCATCGCCATGTGCACTCCCACAAACAAAAGAAGTTTGTGGGACTAAAAAAAAAGTTCAATTAATCAATTCCAACTTCCCACGGGAAAAAAAAGCAGTGGCAGCGGGGCGCTTTGTGTGGGGGGAAGCAGCAGCGGCGGTAAAGCGCTCCGTCAGGGGGGGTGGGGGAAGCAGTGGTGCAGGGTGCTCCATGGGGGGGAAGCAGTAATGGTGGTGGAGCACTCCATCGGGATTGGGTGGAGGGAAGCAGTGGCGGCGGGGTGCTCCATGTGGGGGGGGGAAGCAGTAGGGTTTTGTGACTCCCAGTGTTTTCTGTGGGAAATGGGTCCAAATGGTTCCTTGAGTGTTTAAGGTTGCTGACTCCTACTCTAGTCAATTCCTCTATTATTGACTTCACAAAAGTGGAGCTGCCTTCAGTCTGCCATTACAACTCTGGAAGTCCTTGCTACTGTATTTCTTAAGTGCCAAAAGGGGGGAAAAAGAGTGTTTATAGCAGCTTTACCCAGCTTTGGCATTCTGCAGATATATGGATTCTCAATTCCCAGGATTCCCAGACACAATGACTATTGCTGAGATTTGATTTTGGCAGCTGAAATCCATGAATTTGGATGGTGTCCAGGTTATGTAAAGCTGCTCCAGAGATACATCCCTGCCTGTGTCCTCATATTATGACTCTTATCAGAAGTGTCAGGGAAAGAAAGAAAAAGAAGAAGAGAAAAAGAGGATGTCTTTTCAGAAATAATGATGGTGTTCTAATATGACTTAATAAAGCCCAAATTTATTTTGTGTCAAAACTGGGCATATCTTATTGAAACTCCTCTAATTTGACCCCTGCCTTATTTTTTCCATGCTCAAAAGCTGTGCAGGATCAGATCTAGTTGTAGCTGGATGGATATCGCTAAGGAATTCCAAAGAGATAAATTAAATTGGGAAGCTAAAAAAAAAACAAATTCCCTAATAAAGGCACTGGGAGGCTGCTGCTAAGGCTGGCCTTTGGTCATGTACAGGAATCATAAGGAGTTAAGCTAGCCTGAGAGTATCTTTATATTTTGAAACTTATAGTATCTCCGAAAGTCAAAATAGGAAATTTAGGAGAAAAAGCAGCCTTAATTCCCTTCCAAATGCTGAATTTTAGCTGGACTTAAGCTCTATTATTTAGTTTGTAATTGCATGGTGCTCAGTAGATTCTCCCTGTGAATATTCCTTAAATCTAAACCAGATTCATTTGTAACAATATGCAGATACATATTGTTACAAGGCTTACCAATACATGTTGAAAAGTTTTTATAATCTCAGACCCAGCTTTTCTTTCAGAACCTTTCATCCTTGCAGTGGGAAGATACGCTTAAAAAGTGCTTGATGGCCCCATATAACCCTTCACAATGAAGGGAGGTTTGTTTTTCAGCAAATGAAGCACGCAGAGCAAAAACGCCTGCCAGCTGTGAACTATGGGCCATTACATTTTACCGTACATGGGCTCAACTCCAGCCTGGGTGTTAACATAAAATTCATTCTATATAATGCGGAACAGCTGAACATACAGTAAAAATGTAGTGCAAAACTGAGTGTGTTGGTCAGTTTTCTAAAGTTCAAGAGACATCACACTCACTGGCATGGTAAGTTATGGGTTCAGATAGAGTATGTTTAAATGTCACCTCCCATTTGAAGGACAAAACCATGTTTCAAGGCCAAATGGTACTTGAAAATGAACTCTGAAATTTGCCTTCTTTTAAAAACACTGGCTAATTATTGCTTTATAAACAGATATATTTAACAGCAGCATTACAACTGGAATCATTTTGGATAGCTCCAGCTAGGACAGCCAAGTGAAATCTTCCACCCAAAGTGGTGCCTTAAAGATATACCGGACTACATCACCTGTAATTCTCAGCCAGCATAGTTAGAACAAGTGAGGTGGATACTGACGTAGCATCAAGCAGTGGCCAGGAGTATATACATTAGAGGCACTTTGTCTCTATAAAAATTCATTGAATTTAAAGCAGGTCCATTAAAAACAAAAGGATTTAAATTAGGCATGACCTACTGTAAATCTTATCTACTTAACTGAATTTACTGTAAGTGTTACTAATTTGTGGAAAATTTAACTTCAGCATGTCTATATGCTAGGTCACCTAAGAACAGTTAAATGAGAACTAATTCAGGGGCATCCATAGAGTGGGACATCAAGGAAAGCAGATGATAATTGAGGTCCCATTCCTTTTATTTTATTTATTTTTATTTATGCTGACTGTGTTCAGCAGGTCAGCGGTTCAAATCTCACCTGCTCAAGGTTGACTCAGCCTTCCATCCTTCCGAGGTAGGTAGAATGAGGACCCAGATTGTTGGGGGCAATGTAAAATATATATACATTGCTTACTGGTGTACACCTTTAGAGAGTGCTTGCACTTAAAGCGGTATATAAGTCTCATAAATAAATAAATAAATAAATAAATAAATAAATAAATAAATGAAAGGAAAGCAGATGATAATTGAGGTCCCATTTCTTTTTTCCATATGCTACATCTTTTTATGCATATTGTACATAAAATATATATTGTCATAAAAAAACACCTCCAGACATGTGTCTTTTCTACTTATGACTAGGTTTGAATCCAAGCCACACATTTTAAATACAGGTAGTCCTAGGCCAGGGGTAGGCAACCTTGGCTCTTTTATGACTTGTGGACTTCAACTCCCAGAATTCCTGTGCTGGCTCAGGAATTCTGGGAGTTGAAGTCCACGAGTCATAAAAGAGCCAAGGTTGCCTACCTCTGGCCTAGGCTTATGACTACAATTAAGCCCTAAATTTTCCATTGCTAAGCAAGACAGTTGTTAAGTGAATTTTGCCCCATTATACAACATTTCTCGCCACAATTGTTAAGCGAAACACTGCATTTGTTAGGCTAATAACATGGCTGTTAAGTGAATCTGGCTTCCCCATTGACTCTGCTTGTTCAAAGGTCACAAAAGGGGATCATGTGACCTTGGGACACCGCAACAATCATAAATAGGCCAGTTGTCAAAAATCCAAATTTTGATCACCTGCCTATAGGGATGCTGCAATGGTCATAAATATGAAAAACAGTCATAAGTCACTTTTGTTTGCTGTTGTAACTTTGAATGGCCACTAAACAAATGAGTGTAAGTTAAGGACTACGACACTGAAACAATGACCAATCTGAGCCTTCATTATAATTGGTTGATGAGAAGTATCTTGTTTATCATTAAAATCCTGTGAAGAGTTTTATTTCATTTTAAAATAAATCTATAAACCTCTGGCTCTGAGCTACTTCCAGTGTTCCTGGTTGGTAATCCCTGTTTATTGCTAAATATTGCACACTTCTAAGCTGTTGATGTTTCTACATATATCAGACAAAAATATTTTTAAAAGCTTACTATCAGTTCCCCATAGGAAGAGAGGAGACCTGCGCCATAGGCTTTGATCGATTCATTTTGTTTGCAGAGACCAAACTCAACTGTAAACCAATAGAACTAAGAAGAAGAGAAGGAAAAAACAGATTATTAGAACTTATCTGAGAAGGAAAAAACAGATCAATGAGAACAAATTATGAGGAGTAATAAAACTTTTCCAATTCTTAATCCAGGAATTTACTACCACTCATCCTTGGGTTAGTGGAATTGTTTGTTCATCTGCCTTGATACTCCTTTGTTGTGATGAGAGAGTATTATGTTGACAACTTTTCAATTTTCTCACTGTATCTCTACTTGACACAACATTTGATGCATTCTGGAAAAACAACAACAGCACAATATCCACCAGCTGAATTGGGACCCCTGAAGTTCACTTCTGTAAAGGAAAAGAGGGAATGCAAATATGTCCCAATGGGAATTGCTTCTATCTAACCACTTTTTTCCAATGTTACACCTTCCAAGTGTATTAGAAAACAGTTCCTATTTGGATGGTTGGAGATAGCCATGCTATGGGTGCTTGGATCCTGGATGGTTGGATATGGGGGAGGAATGCTATCCTATGAGAATATTTTGCAAGAAGTACCCATGATAATAGAATATCTCTCTCTTTCTCTCAATGTGTCTGTAAGGACAGCAAAATCTGCATTTTCTTGCAGTAAATAAGCAATATGTCCTGGCTCTTTGGAAAGCATAGAATATTTATATGATATGTTCTATTGATGTGAGTTATTGCATACATGTGACTCCTTTGGCATTGTATTTCTGCTGTGAAAATGTGTGTAGGAGATAACCAGGCTGAGCCCGAGGGAGGGGATAAACACATCAAAAGTCACGAGTCCCTGCATGCCTGCAAGAGATCAAATGCTTTTCTTATCTCCCGCTCATTTCCCTTAATGGCCAGTTGGTCAGATTCTTGTAGAGAGCTTAAGCTTATACTAAATCTTTATACTCATTTGAACTGCCTGAATCTCCTGATTTCCCATGTGCTTGACAATGTGATTTATACTCACTGTTGATAATTTTTCTATATCCTCATCAGATACTCCAAGAGAAGCCAGCCCGATATCCTAAATCAAGCATATTGATTTTTATTAAAATCGTAAGATGTTTTGCCACTCCATTCCATAAAAGCCTTTCAGAATTATGTCTTCTTTTTTTGTTGTTGTTAAAAAGGAAAAAAATTATAGAACACAAAGAAATATATATAGTCAAAAAGAAATAGCAGAGTTATATTATTTTCAGTAGCATCTTCAGGTGGTCACGACCTCTCCCCACGAGGGGCAGGGCTTGCACGGCAATGCTACATTTTATTTATTACATTTTTAATGCTATCCATCATCCCTGCAAAGTGACTCTGGGTGGCTTACATGCTATAAAAACCTTCTAAAAAATAATAATTAAAATTTTAAACATGAAATATTAATGTTATTTCGTTGTTAAAAATCATTATTGATTTAATTATAGCATTAATTATTAATATTATAATAAAAATATGAACACACTGCTTTATCACTCTGTTTCCCTACTCCTTCCCTTTAGGACCCAGCAGCATACCCATACCAGTCAAGAAGAAAGAACTAAACAATATGCTGTAAAAAGTCCCCTGATCTGTAACTTAAGAAGGACAGATAAATTAGGAAGATGAAGGCTATGTAGACTGTTCTCATGTGAACTAGACTCAAGCAAATGTTCAGTTCAGAAAACTGTCTCCATTTAATCCAGTATACTTTTGCTGACAGTGGTCACTGAAGTAGGTGCAGGAAGCCAAAGGATTGCTCACAACTTTGTCCTTCATCAACTGACCAGAGATACTATATGGTTCCTGGAACACGGAGATCTAATAGCAATAGTTGGACACATTCTCCATTAATTTACTTATGAGAACACGGAGCCTTTTCCCAGGAATGTTTATACTGTAATCAAGGTTGTCATCTTTAGGATAAACATCTGTAGGGTTTGTTCTGCCTGCAACTTTCCTTAAGTTAATTTATTATTTCATGACTGTTAATAATGCAATATAGAGCCAGGACTTCATATTTGGATTCTTATTTAGCCAAGAAAAAGAATGTATGGAAGTGGAGCATATACTTTCTAATATGAAATAATCCACCCCATGTGATTTGAACATCTGGCAACATCAGTGCAGAGCTGTAAATCAGATGGTTTATCCTAAAGCAATTTAAGCCAGCATTGCTCAGCCCAACCCAGGCAACAGCTGCTTGCTGAAAATGGCCCGTGCAGCATTTGAATGAAGATATAACAGGAGACAGTTTGCCATTATCAGCTGCTGCTGCTACTGTTGCTCTCCAGAAAGTTATGGAACAATCAGCTGGTCCAAAATGCAATGCCACAGGAAGTATGGGCACATTTTAATATGGCCATGACATTCCACCGCTCTGCAAGCTGCACTGGTTAACACTGAGCTTCTAGGTATGATTCAAATGCTCGTTGTCATCTATAAAGTCCATCATGACATGAAGTCAGGTTATTTGAGGGATGGATCACTTATATCCCATATTCATTCATTAATATCAGGCAGAGCTGGTACTATTCAGCTCCTTCAAGTAAGCTATGCCAACTATCAGGATCCAGGAAGTGGTGCCATGGTACCTGTCCTTTGACCTGCTATTTCCCCTCAGAAATGCATGTGACTTCCACTTTAATGATATTTTGGGGGTCTTCAAAAATGTAGCAATTGTCCCAGGCCTTGGGATAGAGCACCTGTGGATTTTTTAAAAAATATGGGATATGGTAAGTTTTTTCTATCAGCTGAAATCTATCCTCCTCCACCTCCTCAGGAGCTGTGGTGGCGCAGTGGTTAGAACACAGTATTGCAAGCTACTTCTGCTGACTGCCAGCTGCCAGCAGTTCAACAGTTCGATTCTAACTGGCTCAAGGTTGACTTAGCCTTCTATCCTTCCAAGATCAGTAAAATGAGGACCCAGATTGACTCTGTAAACTGCTTAGAGAGGGCTGTAAAGCATTGTGAAGTGGCATATAAGTCTAAGTGCTATTGCCATGGTGGCGAACCTATGGCACACGTGCCACAGGTGGCATGCAGAGCCCTCTCTGTGGGCACACGCGCCATCGCCCCAGTCCTAGGCCTTCAGCTGGGTTTTATAAAACCTTTTTGCTTTAGGCCTCTACCGCTGTGTGCAAAAAAAAAAAGGTTCAATCAATCAATCAATTTCAACTTCTCGCAGGGAAAAAAAAAGATCTCGCAAAGTTGGAATTGATTGATCTTTTTAGTCCCACCAAGTCTGCTGTTACCACCACAGCCATGCCCACCCAATGGGTCATGCCCACCCAATGGGCACACCCACCCAAAGTGCCACACCCACCCGGCACCTGATGCTACATAAGTGGGTTTTGGGTTGCAGTTTGGACACTCGATCTCTATCACTGTGCTATTGCTTCTGTTTTTGATGTTGCTATTGTTATCATCATTATTTCTCAAACTTTAAACTTATTACATGATGAAAATGCTTTTAATAGACATTTTATTACATATTTTTATTTTTGAAGGAAAATATTTGTAGCTCAGGGTTGAAATGAGGGGTCCTTGGTGCTCTCAGAGCTTGCCTGTTTTCTTGCAGATGTTTCATTACCCTAATTGATGATGTTCCCTAGTTAGGGTAATGAAATGTCTACAAGAAAACAAGCAAGCTCAGAGAACACCAAGGACCCCTCATTTTTATTTTTCTACATCACCCTACTTTAAAACCTTGATTATGTTTTGCTTTTATGCTTTATAAATTCCTCCAGAAAAATATTTTAAAAATAAACACAAATGTACAGTCTGGATAGACTCAGCCTTTTGTTTACACTTAAGAACTATACTGCCCCCTTCCGGTTTCATGAGTGAGGTTCAGAATACACATAGCTGTCTAGCAAAACTTACCTTCTTTATCAAATTTCCTAACATCCCTCCAACTTCTGCTGTGTTTTACAAAACTTTGCCCTAAAAATTAATTCTGATTTTGTAGGTAGCATTAGGCAGAAATTATGGTCATCTCCTATCTGGTCTAAATTACCAAATAAGGTGTCAGGTAGGACACTGCCTAATACTAGGTCAAGCTGTTTGTCTAGCTCAATATTAACTATACTCTCTGATAGAGTTAAACAAAAGAAAGGTTTTTGCAGATGTTAATAAGAATTCCAGAGGAAATAATTTTTGTAGAAGATGTAAATGGAGAGGTAGATCCAAGCTTAAATAAATTATCCCAAAGGAAAAAAAGGAAGACAGCTTCCAAGAAAAGAAAGACAGCTTCCAAGTATACACACACACACACACACACGCGCGCGCTTGCAGAGTTGATAACTTCCCACTCTAATATTCACATAACATCCCAATGTTATTTCTTTTAACTTTGATTGTGGTTGTTGTTTGTTTTCATTTGTTTGCTGTGTTGTGCTGTGTTAGTTAATGGTTCAGAGAATTGTAAAACTCAAAACATAGGTTAATGATTTAATTACTCAAGCATATGCCATGAACACATCACCATGCCAGGGGCATTCCTTCCATCAGAATAAGGAGAACAAAATTACCTGTGAAAACTGAGCAAAGTCCTTATCAGCTAACATGGGAACATGGCCCAGCAGTTCGTGGCAACAATCCCTGCCAAAATAAACAGGTTAAAAATTGCCATAATGGTGTCCCTGGTTTTTAATAAGTGAAAACTCTTAATTGCCACATCAAACCACAGAAAGCCTATGATCTACAGTATATATATATATATATATATATATATATATATATATATATATATATATATATATATTTTTTTTCTGAGGTTTTCACGGGTGTTTGTATATAGGTCTTTGGTTGTTCGGGTTTTCCCCCGTGTAAAATTGGAAGTGTCTTGGCAACGTTTCGACGAAGTCACATTCGTCATCTTCAGGCTGGTGTTTTTAGCTTCTTGCTTTGAGCAGCAATGTGTGGTTTTAGCTGTTTCTTCCTTTTAACTGCCAGTGAGGGTATGAACTGATTGGATGGGAGCTTGGCTGTGTTCTGATTGGGTGGAGGTGTGTTCTGAATGGTTAGGGGCTTGGCTGTGCTCTGATTGGCTGGGGGAGTGTTCTGTTTGGTTGTGCTCAGGTTAGTCTGAGTTGCAGAGGGGTTTAAGATTTTGGGGTTAGGGAGTCGTTTGTCAATAAGGGCGGGTTTCCAAATGGCTGGTAGGCGGGAGGTATCATCTCGCTTGTTCATGCTGTGTGGGCGTTTTTCTATCTCGATGGCTTCTCTGATTATTCTGTTATTAAAATGTTCACTTTTGGCAATGGTTCTGGTATTTTTAAAGTCAATTTCATGTCCTGTGGCTTTAAGGTGTTGGACCAGGGAAGATGTTGGTTCCTCTTTTTTGACTGAGTTCTTATGTTCTTCAATGCGTGCACTTATTCTTCTGTTGGTTTGTCCGATGTATGTGGTGGGACAAGTGGTGCATGGGATTTCGTATACTCCTTGATTTTCTAATTCAATTTTATCTTTGGGGTTTCTAAGGATGGTGGATATTTTTCTGTTTGTGCAGAATGCTGTTTTGATGTTGTGTTTATGAAGGATCAGTAAGATCCTTCATAAAACACAACATCAAAACAGCATTCTGCACAAACAGAAAAATATCCACCATCCTTAGAAACCCCAAAGATAAAATTGAATTAGAAAATCAAGGAGTATACGAAATCCCATGCACCACTTGTCCCACCACATACATCGGACAAACCAACAGAAGAATAAGTGCACGCATTGAAGAACATAAGAACTCAGTCAAAAAAGAGGAACCAACATCTTCCTTGGTCCAACACCTTAAAGCCACAGGACACGAAATTGACTTTAAAAATACCAGAACCATTGCCAAAAGTGAACATTTTAATAACAGAATAATCAGAGAAGCCATCGAGATAGAAAAACGCCCACACAGCATGAACAAGCGAGATGATACCTCCCGCCTACCAGCCATTTGGAAACCTGCCCTTATTGACAAACGACTCCCTAACCCCAAAATCTTAAACCCCTCTGCAACTCAGACTAACCTGAGCACAACCAAACAGAACACTCCCCCAGCCAATCAGAGCACAGCCAAGCCCCTAACCATTCAGAACACACCTCCACCCAATCAGAACACAGCCAAGCTCCCATCCAATCAGTTCATACCCTCACTGGCAGTTAAAAGGAAGAAACAGCTAAAACCACACATTGCTGCTCAAAGCAAGAAGCTAAAAACACCAGCCTGAAGATGACGAATGTGACTTCGTCGAAACGTTGCCAAGACACTTCCAATTTTACGCGGGAGAAAACCCGAACAACCAAAGACCTATATATATATATATATATATATATATATATATATATATATATATATATATGTTGTTTCAGCGGTTTCTTTTCTGCTATATTGAAAAACCTTGACATAACTGATTCTCCAGGTGGTGTGTGGATTTCAAAAGCTATGCAGGAGTCAACTTCCTACCTATTTTGCATGTTTACCAAAGGACTGCCCTGAGCAGACACAATCCAAATTCAAACCAAATGGAGCATCCGTAGACCAGTTCCCAAGGTGGCCCATAACTACTGCAGCATACACATGGCATATCCAGTCCTCTATCAGTTGAGGAAGTGGTCAGAAACTTTGAGGGACAGGTATCAGAACACAAGTACTTTTACTTTGTAAAGGTCTCCAAATGATCCTATAGCCAGCCATGCTGAAATGGATGAAGTGGCCAGCCAGATGAAGGTGCAGCTCCATTATGAAATATTTTAAAATATATCTAACATTAAGATTAAGATGAGTGAATCAGCCAGTGTTTGTGGGTTTAACAGCCAGTGAGAGTGCTGGCTGGAGTCTTTTGTCACAATAATGCTTTCACTGGTTGCAAATCCCCAAAGAAGTAATTGATTAAGTCAGCTCACCACAGTGCTTGGATATATAACATGCTCCATGTGTAAATGCACAGCTACAGTCTCAACTGGCTGGTTGGCATAATACACTGGCAGGTGGCATTGAAAGAGAGATGGTAGCAGGGGAGGAAAGTTGGTGGTCATGGAACCATGGTTGCACAGTTTCTTTTTTAAAAAGGGGGCAGAAGCTCAAACATAGAAAGACACACTAATTCCCACAATATAAGAGTGCATGGTAAAGGTGATGGAATTAGCGGAGATGGCAAAACTGTTTTAATTGTTCCATGCGCCTTGGACTATAGTCATGCTAGCTGCATGAAAATGGAAGCGTCTTCAGGCAATACTTGGCTAAGAAACAGAGATGAGCACTTGCCCCTAGAGTTGGACATGACTGGACAGGGAAAACCTTTATCTTTTATTTAGTTTTGTTTCTACGATATTTGGAAACTACTTCTGGATTTTTGCTTGAAACAGAAAAAAAAACAGAACTTTGATTTTAGATTTTGATATTAGCATGAATTAGTTATTATATAAATGGCTTGGAATGTTGTGAAATGTAAAGAAAAAAGCTGAGGTTGTAATTATTTTTTTTGTATTTTATTGCACTGAAAAAAGTTGGTAGTCACTACTGTTCTCTTTCTTTCTTTCTTTCTTTCTTTCTTTCTTTCTTTCTTTCTTTGCACTTCCCTCTATCTTCCTTTCTCTCAGTTCTCTAATTTTTGTTTCTTTTTGTATTTTTATCTTTTAATGAAACTCAATAAAATCTATTTAAAAAATATAAAGAAAGGCAGCAGCAGCAACAGGGTAGCAGCCAATAAAAAGATCCTATGGATTCAGTGATTGCTCAGGATCTTCCCAAACCAAAATGCCAATATATATTAACTGTATTGGCTGGTCTCATTGAATATTATGGTGTCAGATCACAGTTACCCCCATCTCAGGAATAGACCACTGTAGTGCTGGTAAAGAGGTTTTATTTTATATTGTTGTTTTAAATACCATTCATTACTGTATAAGAGCTGTGGTGGCACAGTGGTTAGAATGCATTATTGCAGGCTACTTCTGCTGACTGCTGGCTGTCAGCAGTTCGATTCTCACCGGCTCAAGGTTGACTCAGCAAATGAGGATCAGATTGTTGGGGTCAATATGCTGACTCTGTAAACCACTTAGAGAGGGTGTAAAGCACTGCGAAGCAGTATGTAAGTCTAAGTGCTATTGCTATATAGAAGATGTAAAGATATATATAGTATCATGAAAAATTCAGAATGAGAATGTTCCTTCCTTTTTATATGAGCTGCATACAAGTCCATGCCTTTATAAAGTTGTATTTAGGAGGAGTTTTTTCAGACAAAGCTTACACTACAAATTATTCTGTTCCATCTTTTCTTTGGCAGCTGACCAGACTACCATCTGTGGCTATAAAAAGATATTGATTTCTTTTCCACTTTGAAAAACTACAAAACAGACTGCAAAGCAAAGAAGGAAGAATACTTGTCTCTTCCCATATTGGTCTCCTATTAGAGAATGCAACTGGAAGAAGGAAGGGAGAAAGAAAAGTAGGAAGTCTGAATGGGTGGGAGTACACATGAACAACCCCATGTGTAGTTTAAATTTCAGAGAAATTTATACAAACATTTTTAAAGGATAGAATTTGGCAGTGCACATACCGATATTGGATTCTGGTGTCAAAAGTTGAAAAGAATGTAATAAAATATGGCTGAAAACAAAACTGATGGATAAAAGAAATGAGTGTGTAGCCTAGCCAGAAAAGAGCATTGGGTGAGAACACATCATAAATGATTGAGGCTGACAGTGAACAACTGTGTGAGTGCCAAGTGAGCAAGAATCTTAAATGCTTCCTACTATTTTTTTTTTTTTTTTTTTTTTTTTTTTTTGTCTCCAAGCTACTTTTTAAGAATTACATCCCTTGTGTCCCAGTTCTGGTAAAACTGAAATGCTGGCTTTGCCTTCTTCAGACTGGAATCACCCAACATTTTGAGACCATGGTTGGCAATTCCAGGGCATGGCATCAGTAGCAGCTGTTAAAATGCAGCCTTCAGTGACACACTTAGAAAATCATGACATGTATCAGCTTATTTTTACTTACGGTTCTGGGGAATGCATGGGTGACGACCAATGTCTTATGTACTGAGTACTTTGGAAGACACGAAATGCCAGGGCAGCAAGGAAATCCCGAGCAGATAGTAGCCCTGCAGCTGGTCTCAACCTGAAGCCTGTTCTTTCTATAAGAGAAATTTACAGTGCAGTTCAAGTCGTGATGAAAATATACTTATACCTTAGTAATGATGCAATGTGCCAAGCTCTGCTTATTTTATTATTCCATGTTCATGTTTATTGTCCTGCCCTGAAAATGTCTCTGTTTCACACATGCATTTCTTATTAATGTAGGGCTCTTCCCTTTTGTTCTCTATTCTTCTGCAGGATTGTAACTTTCCATCTAATCATGGAACCTTGGATAAATGATTTTGGAACTTTCTCAGCGTATTTGCCCCTCACAGAGCAACATGCAAAAATGTAAGAAAATCAAACAAGTTCACAGTGATCTCCCCAAGGAAGGGGGGGGGAGGAAGATCTGAAAATGAATTCTACTATTAAAAGAAAGGTGATGCCTGCTCAGAAACACCAAGGATTGAGTATGAGCTGTTCCCACACTCTTAGAGTCAGAAGCCTTGCCCCAAAGTTGGAAGCTAACGTTGGGAACACTGATCCTTTCATCTGCCCTTATCTGTTGAGGAACCAGTTGTCTCTTCTGGATAAAACTCCCCACAGACCTTCTGGGCTACTTGAATGGATTGGTATCTTTGTCCTCTTCTATTGTCTCATCAAAGATCAGGAACTCAAGGCAACTCGCTGTGAAGTAGGCTGGCCTAAGAAAGAGTCACTGATCCAAAGATTCAAAGTGGATCTCCCTAATGCCAATTCTCAGCCATTAAGCATAATGCTGTCTAAATGGGAACCATGAGGCTATAAGTTAAAAAAGAGAGGGGAAACCATTAAGCTATAAGCTCATAATGTTCAAAGTCAACAAATGTCATCAACTGTGTTCTTGAGAAGTTGTCATGAAACAAGAAGCTGTTCAGTATAATTGATTTCATCAGGTTTATAGCTCTGATGGTGTCTGTGATTCTATAAATGTTGCTATCATCATCTCTTTCAGAGGTTTCTTTTGAGGTCAATTAAAGTCCTCTTGAATCCGTGAGGATAAGTTGAAGAAGGCAGAATGACAAATGGTGCATTTCAACTCTAACTAGCACGTTTTGCAACATATGGATAGGAGCTAATAAGGACAGAAGCAGCACCCATTTGAGACATGCAAACAGAGTATTTATGGGGCTCTTTTCTTGCTAAGGTTTAAGAGCATACAGTAATGGCCAAAATTGTGGAAACCTTTTGGGGAAAGTATACAGTAGAAATGCCACCTTTGGTTAAGTTTACACCAATTTTTCTTCTAATTTCTTTATAACTGTAGCCTTGTTCACTTAATAATACTATTTTACATCACTTTCTGGGCTACCAGTCAACGCTTTGCACCATTACTTTAATTTTATTACGTTTTACAAGCTCATTAAACGAAAGAAAAAAAAACTCCAACCAACTTGATAGTGATCACATAACACACTGACAAATGTCCTCTCTCAGCTTCAATACATGACATCAATAACTAAATCCTACTGTGATCTGATTGGCTCATTGCGAAAACAAGATGACACCTGATTGGCTCTCTAAACACTCATGCTCATTGGCTACAATCAGATGAAGGAAAGCTACCTGATATCAAAATAAGCAAGTTGTGTTTCCTTTTTCTAGTTGTTTGGCTATAACTTTTCATAGAATACAGTACAGATAATTGAACAAACTTTGTTGCATTACATTCTTGATTAAATTATCTTTCCATTGATATATAATTTTATGGTGCTACTCCAAAGAAAAGTGGTGTTATTAGCCATCAAACCTCAAAAATACACTTTTCCCAAAAGGTTTCCACAATTTTGGCCACTACTATAGGTTACATCACTCTTGACAACTTCAAGGATCGTAGCAATGTCCCATCTGACAGCAGCTTGCAGGCTTCATTCTGTCCTGTGCCCACTCAGACACAAAATAGATGAAATAAATCTTTTTCTGAATGCCTTAAAATGTTGTCTACATTCTTATAATTTTTTTGAATGCCTTAAAATGTTGCTTACATTCTTATAATTGTTCAAATAGTGTAGGGATTTCTCCTTGTTCAAAATAAAAGTAAGTGGTCAATACTATGCTTGAAATTGTATTCAATATAACTTTTTTAAAAATTAACACCAGTCTGTAGGTTTCCAAAAGTAGTCCTGGAGTTCTGCTGCTTATTGGCCTTTGGCAAATTTCAAAAACTGGCTGACTTCCCCAAATTACCAGCTTCTTCAGCTGCATAAACCTTCAAAGTAGAACGCTAATTATTGGGCTAGAAACAGTGGTGGGATTCAGCTGGTTTGCACCACTTCGGCAGAACCGGTAGCTAATTTTTTGTTGCCCAGGTCCAGAATGGACTTGGCATCCACACAGAGAACTGGTTGGTCACATATTTGAATCCCACCACTGGCTAAAAAGAAGTGCCACGTTGCTTGGCCTGGAGGCTCCTTAAAGTGTGTTTCTACACTAGCAGTCCTACAATTGCGCTAACCTGTTAGAAAAGCAGAGACATCTTGGAGTTGAGGGATACAATCCGCTTGGTATCCACAATATTTTTCTAGTTGATGAAAGGCTTCCAGGTATTGCTTACAGGCATGGGTGGGGTAGAGGGCACTCAGCTTCTGGTAAATTTCTTTCCTAAAAATTACAATTGTTAACTAACAAAAAGTTCACTTAAAAAAAATAAAAATAAATCAGAGTCATAATATCAAGGGTGTTCAAAAGTCTTGTGGCAGCATTCCAAACAAGCAACATCAATGTAGGAGTTGTCGGAAAAGGCAGGATGGTGGTCACAGTAGTATAAATAAAGTCTGTATTTTGTGTCCACTGAATCTGTAAATGTACTATCCTGATCACCATTTTCTTATTTTGACCCTTTCCTCCTCATGGATGTTTCTGCTCCAAAAACTCTTACTGTAGTGTTTTATCCTTGGTGCTCTCGGAGTTTGCCTGTTTTCTTATAGACATTTCTTTACCCAAACTAGGTAACCTCATCAGTGCTGGTAAGGAGTGGGATTTGCTCTCCATTCATATTCTAGTAGCCTGCCCTGTCAGTATTGGTGGTGATATAATGTTGTATATGACAGCATAAGAAATTATTAAATATAGAAATGGTAAGATATATTTTATTCTAATTACCTGCAAATGAAATGAAATGATATTCAGTTTGTATTCTGGACCCATCCATTAGTGTGAAGAATTTTGTCTACTCAAAAATCAAATACAGATGCTGAATGGAACCAGTTACATATCTCGAGTTTGAAATGGAATATTGTACTGGCAATATTAGATTAGCCTTTCCTACTGTGTCTTTTATCATTCCCAGTAAGTGTGGGGTGCTTCACATTGTATTCTAGTACATTGGAAAGGTAACAGTCTGGAGAATTTGGCCACATGAACAGCTGAACATTTAAAATAAAATAAATATAGACAAGTCAGCTCGTTTACTTAAGTAATATGACTGCTCTTTTTTCTAAGGAAAGATGGACAAAGACATGTATTTTTTATGGGTGTGAAAGAAACTGTAGCATACAAAAGTTCCATGAATCACTATTTATCTAAACTGCAATACAAGCATTGCAAAACAAGGTTAAAGTACTATTGCAGGTAGACCTCAACTTACAACCAGAACTGGGATCAGAATATCCATTGTTAAGCAAGGCAGTTGTTAAATGAGTCACACCTGATTTTAATGACTCTTTGCCACAGTTGTTAAGCGAATCGGTGTAGTTGTAAAGTAAATCATGCAGTCGTTAAGTGAATCCAGCTTCCCCCATTGACTTCTCTTGTCGGAAGCCAGTTGGGAAGGTTGCAAGTGGTGATCACATGACCCTAGGATGTTGCCACAGTCATAAATACAAGCATATGAATTTTGATCCTATAACTGTGAGGATGCTCTGACGGTCATAAGCGAGAGGACCAGTTACAAGTTACTTTTTTTCAGGGCCATTGTAGCTTTGAATGGTTGCTAAACATTTGATTATAAGTTTAGGACTAACTATAGTACTGTAGATGAACATGAAAACTGCAAGATAGCAATAGCAATAGCATTTAGACTTATATACTGCTTTACAGCCCTCTCTAAGCAATTTACAGAGTCAGCCTATTGCCCCCAAGAATCTGGGTCCTCATTTTACTGACCTTGGAAGGATGGAAGGCTGAGCCAACCTTGAGCAGGTGAGACTCGAACTGCCACACTGCAGGCAGCGAGCGGTCAGCAGAAGTAGCCTGAAGTACTGTATTCTAACCACTGTGCCACCATGGCTCTTATTGACAGTGGCACTGTCAATTCCCCATGTGCAGAAATCCCTTTACTTTCAAGTCATACACTTACCAAGTAGCAGTTTCTTCAGCAGTGTACTCAACTCTTGGCAAAGAGTCACCCCTGGAAAGGCAATAGATTCCATCTTTGAGCTTTTTATATTGTGTATACGTGATCCATATTGCCAAGCTTCACACAGCCAGGCAAAATTAAGAAAGCAGATTTCAGTAGGCTATCTTGAATGCTAAGCTGGAGTAAGTACAGGAACCTAGAAACTACACTATGATTTTCCTAACCTCATTTATAGGAGCTAATTAAGGCAGAGTCTCTGAATATGTTCAAATGATTTTTCCCAGAGTTTTCTGCACTTGGCTGAGTTGTCATTTATGAGATAAGCTGTCAGCTGATTGCCCCGCTGCTTCCCCCCCCCCATTTTTTAATGTTTGTGTTTTCTTCCATTTCTCTATTGGTCTCCCCCAATCTCTCACAAATGCTAGTTCTTGAGGGGTTTTCTTAAAGTATTTTATCAAGGAAGGCTGAAAACGCAGGAAGCCAGAGATCTTTAATGAAGCAACCCAGTGCTCAAATTTTAAGGCAGCACTGCATAGCTGTTGGCTTGAGGGCCACACCAGGCTTTGGACAACATATCAGGGCTGTATTCTGAAAATGGGTGGAGCCATGTCCTATTTTGGGTACCTTAAAATTAAGGATGAAAGTATTCAAATTACATAAAGCTTATTATTTTGTTCAGTTATTAATTTGTTGCACTTACTGTCTATAGTTAAATGCCAGGTCAGCAATAAAAGCCCTCCTTTTCCTATATTCTGGATCAGCATAACCCTAGAAGAAGAAGAAAAATGCTGCTTGCCAAAATCCAAACAATTCCATTCCAAAGTCTAGTGCTTGGATTTAATTGTGACAATGAAAAGAGAATTTTAGAAAATCTGAAACTTAAGTGAACATCGGGACAAAAGATTGCAGATTTTTTTATGGTGCCCTTAAAAAAGATGAGAAACAGAGACATGATAAGTGATTTTCTGACTTGTTTTGAGTAGATGGGTTTTGCCTTGCCTTTCAAATTTACTCTGGAGGCAGTGTATGAAACCAAATTCATGTAAAATTAGGAGTTTGTAGTATTCCTTGGCTATAAATGGGGAGGAAAGAACCAAGTACCAGTAAATGAGAATATTTGTAGCTGAGGGTCCTTGGTGCTCTCTGAGCTTGATTGTTTTCTTGCAGACTTTTCTTTCCACAAACTACATAACCTTATTGATCACTAGCATTAGTCACTAGCACGGATTATGTTATCTAATTTGGGTAATGAAACATCTGCAAGAAAATAACCAAGCTTGGAGAGCACCGAAGACTCCTCAAAGAGCCAAATGGCAATTGACATGTAGAGAAAACCCTACCATAATTTTGATCTAATTGATCCATCTAGGATTCCATAAAACTTTTTCATCTTTTGTTCAGTTTGGTTCAATAGCTACAACCCAATTTGTCAATGTTCGGGACTATAAGAGTCTTGCCCAGCTCTTATTTTGCCTTCAGTGGAATATGTGTAGATCTATTTGGATCTGAGCAAGCATCTGTTGCTTCAGTTTCATCTCTCTTTTACATAAGCCCCATCACAATCATTCCTCCTTCATTAAAAAAAAATAATTTAGTTTTTACAGAACAACATCAACGTGGACAGCCAGTCTTCAATCTATATTCTGAACGGTGGTTGTAAGAAGAGTAATTATGCCAGGAAAAATAAAAAGAGCAACTATCTTCAACTGGATGGTTATTGTACCAAGAAGCCTCTATTTTACTATTGGTACAAGATTTGATAGGGATGTTGGTAACTCCAAGCCTAAATAATTTAGAAAGATACAAACTTAACTTACCGGGTGGTCAAAATTCAGATCAGGGTCAAACTTGGTGATCAGATGATGGCAGTAGTCGAGATCTCTTATTTTCTTTGGGAACCATGGAACTGTTGACAATAGTACCAATTGCACATTGTAAGAATGTGACATCTATAGGTTCCACGAGAGTAGCAGGAGTAATTTATTTGTTCAGTGGTATCATATACACTATTTTTCTTCAGTGTGATTCCTTCAGAGATGTTTACCCCACAAAGCCGCAAATCCAAACCGTCTAGAAATTCTGATAGCTGTAGTTTCAACATTTCTCAAGCTATACAGTCAAACAAAGAACTTGATAAACGAGATCATTATGAAAATAATCTTGACTTTAGCAGCTGAGGGATTGTTTAGGAGTTCATGAATATAACACCAATGTTCCTTCATTATCAATTGAAAGACCTCTGCTTATCAACATGGCATTTTGCTACAATAATAAATGGAATCTAAATCCATACAGAGAAACTATTGTACAGACAAAATGTGGCTCTTGAATCACATATTATCTTTAAAATTCTGGCTAATGGCTTTTAAAATCTTAGCATGTTAGTTTAATTATAGTTAGGAATCCCCGGTGTATACTGAAGAGGTATATTAGGAAGAAAGAAGGTAAAAGCCTTTTATGACATACCTTTTTCTTCTCTGATAGCTTCCACAATCTCTGCCACTCTCTTCAAGGAATTTAAAAGACTGCTAACCTCACAGTCCTGAACTTCACATCTTACAAAAAATTCAAGGTTGTCATCAGCGTTCTTTGATGTTCTAGCTGCTCTGCTTTCAAAGTGATGGATTTTGGCTTCAAACATCTATACAAGCCCAAAACAGGAAGACATTTTTTAAAAACCATTTTAGCTTGTTAAAATAAACGAAGTGCAAACCTGCTTTTCTTCTAAGAATATTTCCCTTTAATAATAAACAATTCATAATATTTCTTGTTTATTTTCACACAGAGTAGAAGATACAACCGCAAAACTCTCTAATAGATCTGAATTATGCTTAGAATTCCCAAAGATGCTTCCAAGTGTGCAAAGTGTGAACCAAATCTAAAGGCAGTTATGTATTTTGCCTGTAGATGTGCAACAGCTCAGAAAAAATGTTGTTACTCCTGAGAATAGAATTATTATTTTTGTTCTCTACTTCTCCTTTAAGTTGAAGAGTGCTGATATAGGGCAAAAGATAAAGATGGGTTTAAATCTGGCAGACACCTCAAGAGAAAGAGTACAAGAACAGCCATGAGCTCACAGAGATGCTGTAGGAGGTATGATGTTACAATTAAAGGAACTAGTAGTGCTGGATTTAAATTCCCATCTAGCTCCCCAAAAAATCTTGGACTAGTTAGTTTCCCTGTTAAAATCTTCCCACAGAATTTTCATTAGGATAACATGATGAGGAAAAAAGAGACAGTATCTATGCTACTTTGAACTCCTTGGAAGAAATCCAGGATGGGAATTTAATGTACTAAGGAGCACAAACAGTACTGAATGAAAGTGAATGAAACATAAAAAGAAAACGGTTGAGTTTCCTTGCAAAAAAAAAATAAATATCCAAATATATGTGTGAAATATATTAACGCAGTTTATCATTTGCCTTCTAAATGGGCTGGGTATCTATTGCTATAATTCCATACAGCAGGAAATCCAACCTATCCTGAACTATGAAATTGAGGTAAAATATGCCAGGAGGTGCTTTCAGTGTCAGCTTTCTACAGCCTGTTTCCTTCCACGATCCTTTCCATTCATCAGGCTCTTAGATTGGAGACGTTTCCTCCTTTCTTTTTCCTCCTCTCCTTTCAAACTGGGAAGCGCCGAACTCCAAGCTTTAATGGCCTTTTCTCTTTAGAAGACACAGTGTGTGAACCTGTTGGCATAAGGCAGAACTTTCAACAGATGTACCTCGAAAACTCGAACTGTCTTGGAGATGCTGGTTTTCTTCTTGCTGCTCAGGGCGAAGGTGAGGGTCAACAGAGCGCTCCGCTCGTCTCTTTTCCGAGTCAGATCCGGGGATCGCCGCGTCTCTGACGGCTCCATCTCTAGAGATCCGAAGAGCTCACGAGCGATCCAAAGAGCTCCTGGTCCTGCAAGATCTCTCGTGAAGGAGACGACGGTTTCCCCGACAGGGTCGACCTACTCAGCTGCCCATACGCGTCTTCTCGGAGCGCGGCGGTGGGGTTGCGTACCTCCTTCGGCCGGGGAGGACTGGGGACCGGATTCTCAAGTATGGGACAGGTGGTTCCCCCAATGCTTCCTCCTTCCTTCAATTTAATGCCTCCAGCGCCAATGTGAGGCCGACTGGGGATGATGGGAGAGGACTCCAGCACATCTGGAAGGTAGCAGGCTGGGGAAGTGTTTGACACGTGATCTATCCCACTGTCAGTAATCGACCCTCGGAAACAGTAACTCTCGCCCTCAAACTGGTTTGACAATGACTTTTGAGGTTCTTGCATTGTGGTGTAATGCTGGGGTGTTTTTCGGCTTATGTATCAAGTCTGCCCATTTTTTAACTGACTGCTAGCTGCTTTGAGAATCATGTGTGTTCAGAGACGCTTAGAAATGACTCCGCTCCCCCACCCACCCCCCAAAAAAGGCTAGACAGAATATTCGATAGCAGCCTTCAGACCGCTTAGGCTCAGAACATTTAAAAAGCTTTACTCTAGCTGTGTGAATATTACTCCTTTTTTTCACTTCTGCTCCGATCCAAGAGGGATGCTGTTGGCTGTCAGCTAAATTGATCTGCAGTAGTGGATAAGAAGCCCATTCATTCAGTCGCATTCGCACCGCACACTGGGCTTGCCTGGAATTGGACTGTATGTAGTTCCGACGTTGTAGGGAAACCTACAGTAGCTATTGTTATTTGATATTCTGTGATTCAGAGCATCATATATTTTATTTGAACAAGCTGATAGTAGGAACTCAGCAGTTGTGCTTCTTTGTCGGGGTTTATGGTTAAAGGTGACATTTAAGTATGGTTCTTCAGTTTACTTGGCAGGAATTCCACGGAATTCAGTGGAATTTACCCCAAGGCAGATGGTGGCATCGGGGGAAGCAACCTCGCTCAAAAGGCTCTGAGGAAGATTTGCAGCGTAAAATAATTTGAATTTAGTATCAAGCACATTCTGTCAAATTAAAAAAGAAACCAGACGTTTTTGATTTTCTGTCAAAGACATGTACAAGTTGTATTATTGAGGGTACCTTAAAATCTGTTGAATTAATAGGCTCCCTAATAAATTTGATCCTTCTCTAAACTACTCTCAGTCCCTGCCGTTTTAAAAAAGCCTTCGTCTGTTCTTTACATGGAAAGGGACAAACTGGGTGAAATATGCCCAGTTCCTTGATATTGTCTTGGCAAATGCAGAATTGCCACATTGCACGAATAGAATCTTGCTTGAAACCTTTCAAGGAATAAACTCTTAAATGCAAACAACACCTGCACGATTTTTGCAAAACCTATGAACCCACGACCCAGACTCCAAACATGTGTTTAAGGTTCTGAAGAGCCCCCTTACAAGAATTTAAGGTCCCGTTGCTCGAGATTGAAACACTGCAATACCAATTCAAAGCGGTTGGACACCATTTCATCCTTTACCCCTATATGGGCAATCGCAAATTCGTAGAGGTACCACGGTGCTGTCCTCGGTGCTGAAAAAATGCTCGTTGACAGAGGAATCCACACCAGTGGATTAAATTGATATAGTTCTCTCTGATTTGTTTCTCCAATTAGTTTTCATTTAAGAGGCGATAAATGAGCTTGTGTGTCTCTATATATCATTATGAAGCACAATTTCTGCAAGATAGTACAGAAGTCTGTTTTTGAGGATGGCTGCTCATTATTTTTCTTTGGTTATTAAACCCTTGATTTGAATGCAATTTAATTTAAATTTGAATGCAATATAATGTAAACTGTAATATTTAATAATGTATTTAATGTGTCATGATTTTTTTTAAAAGTTGGCATATATTAACTATTTTATGGGAAAGAGAAATGTTATTTCTAAAAGTATTTTAGAAGGAAAATATTTTGTTAAAATATTGTTTTGTTTGAAAATATAAATATAAGTCAATTGTAATTAATACATTAATTTTAGACAATAACTATTATGAAAACCATTAGGTTCCATGCACAAAAATAGCAAATGTATTTATTTGAAATAATTATATATTTTAAATATTGGTTTAAGAAAAATATGATTGACATTTTGGTAATATTTTCTACAAATTAGCCAGCAAAGAAGAACTTAAATGTAAGTATATTTGTTTAAAATGTTTAGCTTTACATTAGCTAGTATTTGAATCATTTGAATAAGGGTATCAATGTATACTCTTTTTCAGAAGATAAATGTAAATAATCCATATACATTTAAAGATAGCACTAAAAATTGGATTTTTCCCTGTAAAAAAATGAATTTGCCAACATATGCAGCACAGAAATATTCTGCACTGTAATGGTTCTACCAGCAAAAATACATCAATAGAATGTGTAAAATTGGACAGAGTTGTAGGTAGGACATGAGTAGTGAAGAAAAAATATTTGCACAGCATGCTGGACTTTTGCATGTCACAATTATCTCTTTCCCCATAGTTTACCTATGGAACTTTACAACAATCCCAGTTGATCAATTTAAAATATTTATCTTTAACCTATTGGACATTATTATACAATAATATATGATACCTAACATCAACATAATCTTGATATCTAATCCATAGATAATTAGCAGTGTGAGAAAGTAAAAGTAAAATTAATAAAGACTTTCATGGTTCAAGTGTAGCTTCTTGAATTTTTTCCAGAGATGTATTGGAATTTTAAAAAAATGTGTGGAGGGATGTTTTCTGAAACCTTGACCATATGCAATCATTTTCAGTTTCACTCTTTCTTATGTCATTTCTTCTCCTACACAAACTTTTATCACCTTCCATAACATTTTCAGAGAGTTACCCTGTTAACAGAGTCTTGATAAGCTTCACAATGTGATATTGGATTGGAAAGAATAAAAGCACTTGATTAAATGCACTTCAAAAATGTATAGCTCTTATATAAAAGATGAATTGAATATGCTTATCTTTTCTACTATTTTCCTACATTTTGCCTTTTCAATTATATAAGGTGCATTGGTTTATACCAGGCCTTACTGTAACAATATAAACACTTAGCATATAGAAATCATATCTGAAAGACCTACTTAAAGAGTTATTTATATTAATTTTGTAGAGACTTATATGATCATATCAAAAACTGGAGAGGGATTTGTCTATAGATATATATAAACATATTATATATTAGATTTTGTTACTTTTCTGCATTATATGTTAATTATGGGCAAATTAACTTCATTAAAAGAAAGAAAAGAAGGAAGGTGAGCTGGGAAGTATCTCTTTCACTTTATCTTCTGGAGAGCATTGCAAAGAAGTTCCATTTCATCTGCAAAGACATCAAGAAAATAAAAGTTTTACTTTGTTCTATATGTATTACATTTGAATTTTCTTCATGGAGTACAAGGCAGTGCATATGGAATTATTCCTAGTTTACCCTGTCAGTAGAGATAATGATGCAGAGATTACTGGGCAAGCAAAAGAAAACAAATAATACAAACTTATTGCCATAGGCAGAATGCAAGGCAACTCACATATATGCTGACAATATATGTGTTTGGAGGAAAAATATTGCATGACTTATGAAAAAAAAAACCAATGAGGTGATCAACTGTGCTACAACTGTAAATTTATTGTCTATAGATTCCATACAACATAGAAGCTCCCACTCATACAATAATCTTTTTGTGCACAACCATTAATAAACACTTTTTCAGTTTTTCAGATCTTTAATAGGAAACTATTAAAAAGACGTTGTTGAGGCTGATAAACAGCAGAAATGCATATGGTGCATAAACAAAACTACATTCATTATGAAACTCCTCTGAATTCCAGGAGAGAATGAATACAACTGTCACCACAATCTAATCACAAAATGGTTTATTTTAAATATGCTACTAGAATTGGAATTTTAAAAAATCTGTTTTTAATTTATCATGAATGTGAAAATCATGATACTTGATTCCACCTAACTCATATAGGGCTTTGAAATTTAAAAATGCACTGGAAATCAAATATCCATTTCTTTGTACATAAGGAATTATTAGTTGAATAAAATGAAAAGCAAAGCACACATATAAAAGATTCTTGTCATCCGAATAAAGCCATCCAAAGTTCTGAATTTAAATACTTACTGCTAATGGCATCAGATAAATTCTTTAATTGCTTGATATTGTCCAAAACTTCAATTCTTTCAGTATATGGATTGTAGCGGACTGAAAATGGCCGTGAAATCATTGAGGCATATTTTCTGTAAAATGCAGAGCAAACATTTAAAGATAGCCATATGTTCAATTTTTGGGTGAAATGTCATTCTTTACAGCTGGGAACTGTAAATTTTATGATTTGTTTGAAATGTAAAGAGGAGCAATAAAACTGAGATCTTGTACAATAAATAAAAACTATAATGCATGTCTTAGAGGTGGAGTGCAAGCTATGCCTTTCATTTGATAAGGGGACAAAATAGAGACTTTTTTTTTCTCTTTCATGTATTTCCTGCAGTCTCAATTTCTCAGTCTTCTTTTGTGTATCCCTTGGTCCAACTTCTCTGGGTTATCATTTATATCACAGGTGACCTTTTATTAATAACTTTATAACACCTCTTTCAAATTGAAGATTGCTACAGTAGCTGGCAGTAAACCTATGGAACTGATACCATGAAACCACTTGCAATAATCTAAGCAGATCCTACCTTAACTTTTGTTTTGCATCTTCAAAACTTTCAGCTACGTAGTAAACGGGCTGGAATTCAGTAACTGGATATTTTTGGATTGCAGTCTTTTCCAAGATGAGAGGTTCAGTGACAGGTTTATCTGACAGAGCATACTAAAGAAAAAGGACAGAAGAGGTTTTTTTTTATCTTAAATAGAAATTATTGTTGCTGCCACAATTTAAGCTTAGTAAGTTCTAAAAATCCTTTCCAGTACTGAATAGGAAAGGGGAGTGTCACTGTATTGTAGTCAAGTATACAGAGAGATGTCTTAGGAGTGTAGAAATGCAAATTAAATTAGAGAGGCAAAATATCAAGGAAAACAAACAAAAAATCTGGCTGAGAGCTTAGCATCCTCATAACTCGGATTTCAGAAAAAATATTGGGGGAAAAAGGAAACATGTGGCCATGATGGAATGTCTTTACAGAAGGGAATTATGTGATGGCAACTCAAAACTGGGATATTCCATTTAGAAGAATGATTACATTCCATTTTTTATTGCAGTACTGTGTTACATATTAATTAACAAGGGTGATAGATTTATTGATGCCTTCATGGACTAAAAGAAGATCCTCTATCTTACAACAGCAGTCTTTAACATGTCAGCCTCCAGATGGTATGGAATAAAACCCCCATTGTGGTTAGAATTAGCAAAATATTGGACAAACTGACTGATAATAATGAAGACTGCAGTACAATACTTCTGAAGGCACCAGTTCAGGAGCTCTACCCAAAATTCATATCATTTCTGGCCAGTCCTTTCCAACGACCAGCATAACCACAAAGGAATCCCTTCAATTCAATAAGACTGAGATGGACCTTCCTAGAATAGGTAACAACATAGTTTCACAATTTAGCATGTCCTAATTTTTTCCATTTTTCTAACAGGTCTATGGGAAAGATATCAATCTCATTTCTACTCACAAAAAGAAAAATACAAGATGGCCTCACAGATTAAAAACCTAGCCCAAAAAATACATATGGAAATGAACTTTGAACCCACCCGGGTTCTTTTATCAAATTTATTTTAGGCACATCACCATGCTTTTCTCTTTCACATGAACCCAATAGTCCATAAATAGCACACTGATATTATTTTTGAAGAGCCATAGTTTATTGATTGATTGATTGAATCAGTGTATACTACCACCCATCTTGCAGATGTCACTCACACCTTTGTTTTTTTTCTTTTAATTTTAAAAGAATTGGAGAAGATTTGTGCAGCATGATATCTTTTTTTCTCTAGAAGGCATTCGGGAAAGGAGGAAGAGGGAGCAGGATATGATCTCTATTTAATTATTTTTTATAAGATAACATGTCACCATGAATTTGGGACTCTCCATACTGAGAGCATGAGGGTGCTGCCAGGGTTGAAGTTTCAAGCACAGAATGAGCACCTTCCATACTGAGGGTGCTCACTCTGTGCTTGATCCTTCAACCCTGGGAGCAGCAACTTAATGCTCAGAATGAAAGTGGGCTTCCATGGTGATGGATAGCCTGTTTTGGAACATTCCTTTGCTCCAAGATGGAAAGTAAAGATGTGGTTTGCACAGTGATGTCACAGTGACTTTTTTTTTCCAGGAAGCAGAATAGCGTTAAATTTGAAAATTTGGAGAATAAGGATTTCAAGGAACAAGAAGACAATAAGAAAAACCAGAAAAAAAGCTACCACATTTAAGCTAGATTGCATTTGAAACAAAGCTATATAAACATCACTATGCCAAAATTTTACTTTGCAGAAAGGTTCAGCAACTTCATTTGCAAAAATCATGAATTCATACTTGCAGTTCACCATATGATGACAAGAGTCCAGCACCGTAGGCCTTAATTGCGTTGCCTTCTTTACAGAGGCCAAATTCCACAGTGAACCAGTAAACCTGATGTAAAATAAGGTGTAGAGATTATTGTTACCGTGGCCTACAGAATTTCAGATGATGCTGAAATAGGGCTATGAAATAAATGAAAGAAACAGAATCAGTCATATAAAGGAAAATTTCGTTTTATGAATAGTTCATCAATGGATACTTTCTTGATGATTCTATTATCAATGAATAATGATTAGTTGTTTATTTGGGTAGAATTCTGACTCTCTCTGCATATAATTAACCTTCAAAATGCTATTTGTTTCACCTGTACATAAAATGCCAATGCATTAATGGTTATAATCTTTTGGGAAATATTTCAAGCTTATAAAAGTACTACACTAGTTAATGAATTTTTAATGGTTAGCTACATTAATATAATGTACTTATCATGTAAAAATGAATTATTTTTCAAAGGAGAGTTTCAAGATAATTCTGAAACCAACCAGCCAATTAACCAATTAATTCCATATTAACTGCAGGATGTGACTGAAGCCATTATCAGAATTGAACACTGACCGTTGCAAGTTTCTCAATATAATCATCTGGAGCTCCTAGAGAAGCCAACCCAATCTCCTGTAAAAGCAAAACATTTTCAGTTTCTTATTTTTATTATCATCTACACACATCCCTGCACACACACATACACACACAACTTTTTTAATCTGAAAAATGAAATAAAAGGGAGATAAATTATCAATAAAAATATTTCTCTTTTCTATTTGTAAATTGCATTTCCTTCCAACATGGGAAATTACAGATATAGTTATGTATGTACCTTGTAGAGGAAAAAAAATGCATCTATGCAACATGCACATAAGTTGCAAAATTGGGTGCAACTCACTTAACAACCACCTTGCTTAGCAACAGAAATTATGGTCCCAGTTGTGATTGTAAGTTGAGGACTACCTGTATAGGAATGCAGCTTTACTGATAAAACTGAACTTGAAGGTGAAGGTTCGTTCTCTGAACTTGTGGGCTGGTTTCTGAACATTTCATTACCAGGCTAGATAACATTTTCAGCAGAGTTTAGGGGATGGCAGTGTTGGTGTTCTTCTGCTTATAAGGGCTTTGTGTGGTTAGTAGATCTTGTGATGGGTCAGGTGTGGGTGTGTCAAGTGAGGATCTTGTGATGGGACAGATGTTGAGTCATCAGTGGGAATCTTGTGATGGGTCTTGTGAAGGGGAGGTTACATCAGGTGAGGCTCATCCTACACCCGAGCTACAGATATTCACCACTATTGCAAAACTGAACTTTCTGTCCCAGTATTGGTGTTGCTAGTATTTCAATATTTTTATTTAATGTAGTTATTTAAATTTACTGACTACCCAAGTCTGATGGGCTCCACATGATATAAAAAAACTAGAAGAAAACATAAAAATAACTAAAAACATTAAATCAAATAGGGAACCCAGACTAAAACAACAGAATCAACAGAGCAGAGCAAAGCAAAACAAAGCAAAACAAAACAGGGCCTTAGACAAATAATAAGCATCAACCTCGGGCCTGGGACCAAAATCAAGTTTTCAAATCTTTCTGGATCCCTTGGAGAAATAATGGTGACATGGTTCCGAAAGAAAGCAGATTTTCAAAGAATTTTGAGGCTTATTCCTCTAAAAGAATCTTTTATTATTCTGCATAGCTTCGGCACTAACAAAGTTAAGCCAGAAACTGAATCCTCCCTTCCCCAAGCATCTGTAACAAAGCATAACTCACTCCTTCATTTTACAGTCATCAATCACATTCTCCAATTAATGTGAAGTGTGAGGTGCCCCTCCCGTTGCAGCTAAGCTGACCTTGGCCACACTGTGCCCAGACATTGTTATGGTTAACTTGCATACTTTCCCATCCCTTAGACTACTACTATCTGCCTTAACTCTAGAAATGCTATACGGGCTAAATAAAACAGGTTTGCTTCTTCATATATGGCAAGCAAGAACATCCGATGTTAGCAGTCTTGACAAATGGATTCTCTCCTGCCTGAGTGAACTTCCTGCTGGTCAACTATCAACATTAAAATTTAGCTTTTACTTACTTGAGAAAACTGAGCAAAACTGGGGTCAGCAAATAAAGGGACGTGTCCTAGGAGTTCATGGCAAACATCACTAAAAGAAAACATAAATCAGTATGAAAACTTTCTGATAGGATGTGTTTGTGAGAGGGAAGAATTCTTGCTAGGAGAAGCAGTGTCATTTGCTACACATGTTTTGGCCTTCTTTCAAGCTTAGCCAGCCAAAAGCATATATATATATATATATATATATATATATATATATATATATATATATATATATATGTATAGAATTAAGCCTTTCCTACCATGGCATCCTTCCCTTTTTTTCTTGTTCTCTGTTGTGCCAACTTATAGACTCATGATCTCTAAATAAAAACCAATCATCTCTGGAGAATATTCATGCATATTTTCTACAAATTGACTATAAAGTTATATGCACATTTCTATACTGTTTTGGTTCACTTCCCCTTTAATCATGCATAATATTCCAGGTTTCCAACTATAATACAACTGTATACTTTACAAGACCAAATACGTACGGTTCGGGTGTATACATTGGTTTTGATGAATGGCGAATATACTGTGTAGAGTGAAATACTCTAAAAGCCAAGCCACCCAAAAAATCTCGAGATGAAAGAAGACCAGCCACGGGCCGTAAACGAAATCCAGTACAGCCTTGAAAGAACAGAAAAGTTCTAGATTACCATGAGGCTGAAATCAGATTTAGCTATGCTCTAAAGTTCAATTCAGCATTCTTATTCAAAAATCACTGAGTTACTTACTCCTAGTAACATATGGATAGAATTGCAGCCTGTCAGCTTCTGATACAGAAGTCACAGTTTTTCAACCATTGTTTACTTACTTTTCAAAAAGTTTGAGACATCTTCAAGCTGGGGGATGTTATCTTCTTGGTAGCCGCAGTATTTTTCCAGGAGTGGAAAAACATGGTTGTGTTCATAGCAAGCATGTGTAGGATAGAGAGTCTTCAGCTCCCTAAAGACTATCCCCCATGTCTTCTTCTCTTCCTCAGTGTAAGTCACCCTGGGTATAGGTTGTCCACTGAAAGGGAAGTCAACACAAAAAACTGATTGACCTCTAAGAAATACATTCCCATCTTATCAACATCAACACCAGAAATTCAACTCATTCAGTCCGATGTGATGTGGCAGATCTTTACAGATTAGGCAGGGAAAGTAATCATTACGATGAACTTTTTGCTACATACATGCATCCTTTGATTCTTCCCTTGTAGGTTTAAGCAACTTTATGCTAATATTCAACCACCACCACCCTGCCAAATATACAACTGCTTATAGATCAAATAGAAATAAGGCACCTCAAAGGTTAATGTATGCTAAAATTCTCCTTACTAATAAACACCATATTCTGATTCAGATAGCCCACTTTGAGATAGTTTGATTACTGCTATGAGTTTATCATGTTTTTCACATATTAAACTTGTTGTGGAATAATTAGAGTCCTGATCGTTTTATTTCAGTCTGCTATGTCCATGTGAGGTTGTCTTATATTGGATCAAACTGATATTATGCTGATCTTGCAAATTCTGAAAAAAATTTCCACAAGGAAAAGGTTTCTTGTTAGGCTTATTATCAGATATTTAGTGGCTTTCTTCCACTGAGAAGCAGCAGAGGGTGTTACTACTAGGATTGCTGTTTTCTGCTAAGCCATCTTTCCATTTCTCTGAGGTTTCTGTAGCTGCCCAAATCCTTTCATTCTCCACTATTCAGTCAGAATGGAAGAAGCTTCTTGGATGAGAAGTGAAACATCTTCAGGAGGGGGAAAAAAGCCCAGTTGCCTTTTGAAAACGCACCTTTGGGGTAGTTTGGAAAACTTTCCAAACTAAAACAGGCTGATAGGATCTTCCATCAAGTTTGAAGAGAAGTGCAGAAAGTCAGGACAGATACAACTCTGAGATATAACTCTCCAAAGAGACAATTCTATAATAAAAGGCAGGGCATTCCTTGGCATCTTATAATGTAGCAAATCAAGATCATCGTGCTCCATCCATCAAAGTACTGTGGAAAAATCTTTCCTCCATTGAAATAAATTTTGAAAACAAATTCTCTTTCTTCAGAATGAATGAAAAACGGGAAAAAAATGTAACAGAATTTTTCAGCACAGCATTAGGTTGAATTATTTACCAATGACAGGGTTTTCTATTGCAATCTTCCCCAGTCTGATGCAGTTCTGAGAACTTCCAGAATTCCCAATCAGTTGGTAGATCAGGTAAATAGGTGCACAAAGCAACAATAGCAAATTCAACCCTAGTCTTATTATAAAAAGAACAGAAAGTGTTCTTTGCAACACTTTCTCTTTGCTCTTTGCAAAAGAGATGAACATACACACTTATCTCTTTTGCGCCATCAAGAGGATAGCATCAGGTTTAAAAAAAAGCTCAGAGCAAGCTGCTTTGTAATGAGGTCTTCCTTCTGATAGACTTTTTAAAAGCTGCAGCAAACAAGCAGAGCTCCACACAGTTGGGCTCTAATTCCTAAAATGCTTCAGCAAAAGACAATCTGGTATGACACAAGCAATTTAAATATTTAAGAAGATGCAGAAAAAGAAGATTATTGGTGGGGCAATATTGGAAGAAAAATTCTTTGTCTACTATGGAAGAATGGATACTTAAGGTGTCTAATTTAGCAGAAATGGCGAAAATCTCCACCTATTTGAAGGACCATTCACAAGAAAAATGTATTTCAGTCTGGAGAAGATGGATTGATTATATTCAAAAGAAATATGAGACTGAAAAGTACTATCTTGCTTATGAGTAGATTTTAGATTATTATTAATAGTTTAATATGGTTGAATTTATATTATTTTTAGTGTTATGGTTTAATTATATTATTATTTTTGTTTTTAATTAGTTAACATTTGTTTTGAAAAGGAGTTAAAGTATGTTATAGATTGATTGATAGCATAGTTGGGTAATGTTCGTTAGATTATGATTGCTTATTTGTTACCCTGTAATCAGCTCTGGGAAGTGGGGGAAGGGGAAGGGGTGGGAGGGGTTTGGGTTATATTGTATTAAATTTGTAAAACTTTTAATTAAAAAAAAGAAGATGATGTAGAAAAAGAGACAGTAAAGAACACTGCTAGGATCCCAGAAGATCTGATAGCTACTTTGTCCCTCATCCACGGTACTCTGTTATTTAGGATTAAATTACCTGAATTTGGGAAAACAAAAACACCTGTTGGGGATTAATTCTTAAGAAACATCACCACCATTCCCAACATCCTTACTTCTTACTATGTAGTAACAGTTTGGCCTAATTTCTCTCATGCTGTTCTTGCTTTGCCGCTTTAATGATCTGAGGTGAAATAATCTGATGTACATGTCAACTGACACTGAAAACCAGGCCCGTGTACAAAACAGCTGGCTTAACTAAACAATGCCTTCAATCTCTCCTGGCCTTAAAACTGGGGTGCTAAAAGTCAGCCCAGGTAATGGCTCAGCAGGAATGGCAGATCTGTCTCTTCCCTAAATATAGGTCCCCAACAGTCAGCCTGGCTCTGTCTTGAACCCAAAAGGAATCCTTTGACTTGCTCAACTTGTTGCCTTGACATTAAAACCAGGGCGGGCGGGCGGGGGGGGGGAGAATCGGCTGTTCAGAAAATAATTTTAAACATAGACAGGCGATTTATCTAAGCCTTTCTCTCATCCTGCCCCAAATCAAAGCTTTTTTTTTTCCAGCAATTGAATAGCACCGTGGCACCGTGGGGATAATAGGAGGGATTTCTAAAGTGGCAGCTCTTTGTCAGAAGACGAGTGAGACTCCCACCATTCCTTGTCCCTTCACTTCAGCCTGATCCTAGGGGCAGCCCCCCAATAACTGTGCAATTTTCTGTGTCTCTGCACCAGTCCTCCTTGATCTCTGGAGCCTTAAACATGATTTTGAATGAGATGGGGTGTGTGATGAAACTGCTTTGGTTTCTATAGCATTGACATTTCTCATTAATCCTTAGGCCACCTTCATGGGCCTAAGAAAAGAGGAGAGGTTTAAGGCTCTGTCAGACACCAATTTGAAAGCTGCTGAGATCAATAGATCAGGGCTCAGGGTGGCAGGTGAGAAGGAAAAAATGAAGAGACGGGGGTGTAAGTGTGGGCATACATAAAGAGGGGGGAACATAAAGATGAATGACCGAAGGTCTTAAAAATGAACCACACAACACCATCCTAAATTGCCCCTCCAGCTCCACAGATTGTCCTTGAAAGGACTATAATTTGATGCTCATAGCTCCTATTGTTTGCATGTTTATTGATTTCCTTTATACACATGCATGCAATAAATGCTACACCTTGCCTGATTACCCATTTATTTATTTATTTATTTATTTGAAGGAGCTCATCTGACATGCGTAGCTTGGCTTGTTTCATCTTCATAGCAACTTCAGGAAGTGGACTTGGTGGAAAAGAAAATTCACTCACTGGCTTTGTGACTTCATCTGAACCTATTAAAATGCCTATCGCTACAACTCTTTGCCATGAATCCATGCCAGCTCAATGATGTTTTAATGTATGGTTTTATCCATATATTACACCATAAACTATTCTTTATAAATCACAATGGCTAGATTCAGACAGGTTGACAAAGCAAAGCTACCCAAGCCCAAAGGGTCAACCACTGGCTCTAAAATCCACTTACTACACCCCAAATCTGAATTAGCAAAGTGTAGCATTTGTTTTCCCATAACATACTCTGCTGCCCATTCAAAAGAAGGGACCATTTCCTAGCTATTCATGGAGGTTTGGTTCCAACAACATGCAAAGACAAGGGCTGGGTTCCAACTACATATTTACCAAATCTGTTTCAGCCCCTTCTCCACAACCCCATTTCTTGAAACTGCTGGTATCAGCTTCTGTCTATATCAATGAATGCTATAAAAATCAAGCCTGTTTTTGTTAAAAAAAAATTCCCTGTTCTATCATTGAGGTTGAATTTGGATTCAAAATCCTTTTTTAATATATTTTGAATTGATCCTTGAAATCCTTTCTATCATGTTGTCAGTTTTGAAGCAGAAAACACTGATGCCCAAAACAAGAACTCCTTCAAATGAGGGCCTGGGAGAGGACTTCCCTCCTTCAGAAGGAAGGAAGGAAGGGAGGGAGGGAGGGAGGAGGGAAGGGAGGGAAGGGAAGGGAGATGGAAGGAAGGAAAGAAGGAAGGAAGGAAGAAAGAAGGAAGGAAGGAAGGGAAGGAAGGGAAGGGAGATGGAAGGAAGGAAGGAAAGGAAGGAAGGAAGGAAGGAAGGAAGGAAGGAAGGAAGGAAGGAAGGGAGGGAAGGAGGGAGGGAAGGAGGGAGGGAGGGAGGGAGGGAAGGAGGGGAGATGGGAGGAAGGAAAGAAGGAAGGAAGGAAGGAAGGGAGGGAGGGAGGGAGGGAGGGAGGGAAGGGAGATGGGAGGAAGGAAAGAAGGAAGGGAGGGAGGGAGGGAGGGAGGAAGGAAGGAAGGAAGGAAGGAAGGAAGGAAGGAAGGAAGGAAGGAAGGAAGGAAGGAAGGAGGCCAATCTCTGGCCATCCCATTCCCCATCCCTTTGATTTATTAGCTATTAAAGATTGGTTGCCTTATGAATTTAAAATGAGTCCTACTTGATATAGACAATAAATAAATGAATCTTCTATAGTTCAATACCTCAACATTTGCCTACCTATGTTTGGATAATTTTTAAAAAATTGTATATTGTTTTATCAATTTTGTTTTGTTTTACTTCCTTTGGCTTTTCTTTTGTTGTTCAGTAAATATAAGGGGATTATTGGTCTTTTTTTGTAAATAAATTCAGGAATGCAAATTTTGGTGTATTATGGGCAAAATATATTGGCAAAAGAAAGCTTAGGACCATATAGGTTGGAAACATGCGGATAGATCGATAGATGAGAGAGAGGGGGGGGGAAGACAGACAGACAGACAGACAAATAGACAGACACATATACATACATACATACATACATACATACATACATACATACATACATACATACGTCTGTACTTCCTAACCCTAACCCTAACTTCCTATTAGTTGCTAACAGGATTTAATTATCAAATTTCATCATGCATAAAATTACTCCTACGCTATCTCTTCAGTCCCGCAGTCTAGAAAATAGTGTGAAGACTAATCAGCTCATTGAACATTTTATCATGCAGCTGGAACAGTGACGACAGTCACGATTAGATCAAGAACACACGCAATGCATTATTTTAATCTTGCTCATAATCCTTGCTATAATGCAAATTATACACACTTCTTTCCTCTCCCCTGTTTAATGTGAAGTACATGAGACGCTATTTTATTTGGTGCCTGGTGCTTTGTAGTCGCCTCTGATGCTGCAGCACAATTAGATAACAAAGCTTTGTGGAGGCTGGAGCATGATCCTCATCTGAATGCCATTTATTACCAGAAGGCTATAATTGGGGGATAAGCACAGTCAGAGGAGGATCTAAGAACAGAGGAGGAAGAAAGCAAGCAGGAAAAAATAAATATTTTATGGAAAATTTGACTGGGGAAAAATTTTGTCTGATGGTCCATTTTATTTGGACTCTCAGTGAATTCAGGTGGGCCCCATATGAATGAATCTAGAATTCACATGAGACCTTCTACTTTCATTTGCTCTGGTTGGCCTTTTTTATTTAATTTGATTACAAACTATTTATTTAAACTTTTCCTCCTTCCATTCTCTTGATTTCAAAATGCCTAGATTTCCTCTCTGTTCAAAAGCTTCCAGGTCTGCTACTGATAATGCTACCAATGAAAATAAGATTTTTGTCCTTATTTGAGGATTCTTTTTGATAGACTGGATCTTAATTTAATTTAACATTCTAAAGCACAATTATCCAAAGGTAAAGAGATACACAGATGCTCTTAGGATTTTATGAATTTAAATTCAGCTGAACAACATGAGAAATGTTATGATGGTCAAGATAGTTCAACAATCAAATAAAAAACTTACAGGGAGAGTGAGATGATTCTTATTGGAGATCTTTGGCCAAAGATTCAGGAATAAAGCACTATGGACACTCCCAGGGCTTTTTTTCTCATAGAACGCCCAGAACGGAGTTCCGGCACCTTTTTGGGATGGAACCTTGTAGGGCAGGCAAGGCAGGTTGTATGACGTGTGTGAGTTCTGGCACTTTTTTTTTTTTTTTACAAAAAAAAGCACTGGACACTCCAGCTCTGGAAGACACTGATCTATTATTCTTTGAACATCTATAGACAGCTTGCCTGCTAGTAGTCTGGAGTTTGTTATTATTCTATTATTTCATGCTGCATCCAATCCAACCTGCTCTACCCAGAATAAATTCATTTCACTTTTCTTCTTCCTCCTTCAGGGCCATAATTTGCATCATCCCTCTCACTGACCAAATGACCAATGCCATTTCCACATCCTTCTCAGCCATGTGGTCAGTTCCTCAACATCTTCAATGAAGCAGTACTGTTGCAAAGAATAAACAGGGAAAAGCAAACCTTGATTTATAATGTGTCTAATATGCTCCTTATCACTTCTGGATACCATAATTCAAGATGCCCATTTCTCCAGTATGTTCTGCAGACTCAAACTTCTTTACTGATTACTAAATAAACATTCAGCTGACTTGTGGTCAAAGATGCAGAGGCCATTACTAAGGCAGTGAATGGTCCTGGACAGAAGATCGATGGTGAATGTGCCGATGCTGTTGTTGTGGGCCATCATCTGGACTCTGTGGTCAAATGTGGTCTGTAGACCACTGTTTGAAAATCACTGATCAAAAGGAGCACCTATTTTGTGCCAAAGAAGTTATTTTAGGAGGTAGTTTCTTCTTTCTAATCTGCATACTTACTGCCTATAGTTGTATGCTATGTCTGCAAATTCCTTTCTTCTGGCCCGGTAAACTGGATCTTTGAAACCCTAGAATCAGATAATAAAAAAGATTGATTTGTGAGTGTTTAAAAATGTAGGTACAATTTAACAAAAATGGATGTATTGCAAGTTGATTTAAGGCAAATCATGCTTTAGAAGGGAGTGGAGGAGTGAATGGTCAAGTTTCACCAAATGGTTCAAAGACCTGACCTAGGCAAGTTTAACAGAAATATGTAATAGTACAGCTTGGGAGAACATAGTTAGTTTAGATTGTTTTAAAAACACCAATACAGCTCCATCCTGTCCCCCATTGGAATAGCCTTCCTGAAGAGCACTGATTCACTGATTTGTATTGGTTTTAATCCTATGTTAGCAGCCCAGATAAGGCATTTGCAATTTCAGTGGCCCTATAAATTGAATTAAATAAATAATGAAGACATTTTTCATTATTTGTAATCACACAGCAGATTTGATTTATTTACTCTGCAAACTTAAATGGCTGCCCATCTTAATGAAATAACTCTGGGTGTTTAATAAGCATAAAAACAAAAACACTCATATAAAAACATTAGGGGGGAAAAAACCCAGTAAAAATGCTCATTAAGAAGTCTGTTAACCAAGAGAAAAGCAGAAATCTGGCTTAAGTATTGGTAGGTGCTAAAGCCTAGAGATGAGCTGGATTTTTAAAGTTTTCCAAAAGGCCACAAGAGCAGGATCAGGGACACCTTAAATTGGGAGGGAAGCTGTTCTGCAGGGCAGGCACCAGAAGAGATCCCAGATTATTTTGGCATTTATGGAAATACACCACTTCACTGTACTAGTATTCTAACCCTGGATTTTATAAGTCAAGAAATTATATACTTACTATAGACAAACGGTTGGAAAGAAAACGCCTACTTTTTAATTATTTAAAAATGAAAATAAAAACAGTTCATGTAAAATGACAACACATCATAATTAAATACAATAATGATTATGATGATGATGATAAATTGTATCAGAAGAGAGAAATACTGAGTGATAACTGTCAACCAGCCTGCCTCTTCTAGAGACCTGCTTTTCTTAGTAAACCCCAAACCCCAAAAAGACATTTTCAATGTCCAAAATAAGGCATCGGTTCCAGATACAAAATGGAAAGCAGTGCAGCTGTATTAAAAAATATCTTCATCCATAGCAGAATAGTATCAGGATCACAAGAAGTGATAGTATCACTCTATATTGCACTAATGACGGTTCTGTGACAATTTGCCATGGCCAACTCGCCGCAGGCAACTTGTTGTGGTCAACTTGCTGCAGGATAACTCGCTATAGGACAACTGCAGGACAACTACTGCAGGACAAGAGTTACACTAATATCAAAGAAATAGTGGAATAGAACCATTGAAGAAAGAATGCAAAAGGAGGGACAGAATGAAATGTGAATGGCAAAAATTAAAATATTTTTAAATTTATTTTAAATAATTAAATAGAATTGTTAAATTGTCCTGCAGAGAGTTGTCCAATGGCAAGTTGGCCATAGTGAGTTGTCCTGCAGGGAGTTGGCCATGGCGAGTTGGCTGCAATGAGTTGCCTGTGGCAAGTTGTCCCATTCCACTAATGAGGCCAATACCTGGAATATTTCATCCGTTCTATGATACAAAAAAGATGCTGAAACACCAGAAAGAATGCAGAGAAGGGCAACAAAGATGATAAGAGGTCTGGAGTCTGAACCGTAAGATGAACAGTTAAAGGAACTAGATAATGTCTAGTCTAAGAAAGAGAAGTCTTAGGGATAAAGATGATGGCTATCTTCCAGTACTTGAGTGGCTATCATAGAGATGAGGGGATTGACTTATTGTCCAAAGCGCCTGATGGTATGTCAAGAAGCTATGGAGGAAGCTCATTAAAGAGACATCCAACCTGGAACTAAGGAGGAATTTTCTGACAGTGAGAAGTATTAACAAATGGAACAGTTTACTTCCCAGACTTGTGGGTTCTCCATTGCTGGAGTTTTTAAAGAAAAGATTTGTCTGGGATGGGCAGGGGATGGGTTAGAAGACCTCCAAGGTCTCTTTCAGCCCTATGATTCTATGATACTTCTGTATTGTTAAACACTTGGGTGATGGCATCATGATAATAATTGTATACTAGGATCTGATAGCTTCACATATCCTACATAGGGCAGATTAATTCCCTAGGATGAAGCTAAGATCTAAGTAGGCTAAAGCAAAATTAATATATATAGTGAGGAAATTTCAGATAATATTTCCAGTTTGACTTATTATAAGCAATATCTAAGTATACCTTTGTTTCCCCATTCCAAACAAAACCAACAGCAAACCCTACAAGAAAAAGGCCACTGATGAACTGTTTCTAGCAGTTGGAATTGAGATGAGTCTTTCATTTGGATGCATTATCTTTTGTTAATAATTTCATCTTGCTTTTGGTTACTGTGCTTCTGTATCTATAATATTATTCACTTGTTCTTCAGTACAATGACCCCCCATTCACCTTATTTTGTTCTAGGACTCGACCAAATATTGTGTGTGCCAAATAATTATATGGGGTGCATCATTCATTTTAGATTAAACTAGTGAGCTAGTGAAAGAAAAATCACTCTTCCTCAATTAGTGTAATAGCAGTATTTTTTGCTGCACTCTGTATAATTTATTTACAAGTACCCAGCTTCAGTTAAATTAATAGTGATAATTACTGGCTAGGCTACATCTTCTGACATCAGAAGGATACAGAATGTTGTTTTCCTGATCAGTGGTAAGCAATTATGTGGTAATTCATCCAAAACTGTATTTGCTACACAACAGTGTATTGTATTGTGAACCTCTCCCTCTCTGTCTGTCTTTTTCTACTAGTGATTAGTAGAGAAAGGTCCCCTCCTAGCACCCAAAAAATGTTACTATCACCACAAGCTGATTGTTGCTTTAAATCCCCCCATATCTCTCCCTCTGTCTGCCCCCCCCCACCTCTCTCTCTTTATTTTGGATTTTTACTAGAATGCCAAAATACATAATTTATCAAAACTCTAAAAAACACTGGAACCAAATGTTTAGAATTTTAAAAAAGGAATTATTTAGAGGAAGAGTTAAAATGGAGAAGAAAAAAAGGCAAAATAAAGAAGATATCACATCTTTCAAGGAGATATAACAACTCTATGTGTTGCTTGTTGTCTACTGAGTATTTCCAAACAATATGCAAGATACTTTGCTGTAAAGGGAGCTTATTTGATCTCCCATTAAAATATTTCCTGCATTCAGAGCTTAATTAACATCACTTAATTATAGGAGCCTCAAGTCAATTAAAAATGCCCCTCATTGTTTTCACCCAATGAAGTGATAGCATAAATTCTGGTATCTAACTAATCAGATACACAAAAACTAGATCCACTACTCTTAATAACTCTGAATTCACATGTTAAAAAAAAAAACAAAACCAAAGTTTTTGTGATGTTTCTCAATCTCACAAACACTAGATGGCACTGTTGAGCTACAATAGAACTTTCCTCCTCCAACGTGGATATTTTTTTACCGAGATTTCTTTTAAATTGTGACACTGCATAATAAGTAATTCTGAAAGTTGTAATTATTGTATCTCACTGTGTTAGGGATCGATGACAGATCTACCAAATTGTAAAAAATCATACATTCTTGGAAATGGATAGATTTTTTGTTTAAATTATCTATGCACATTTTCATCTGCGCCATTTGGATTATAAGACATTCCCTACTTGTATGATTCTGACTGTTTCTTTTAAATATGCCCCTAACTTCACAAAGATGGAGCTTTATACCAAAAACCACAAATGAAGGTCATAATACAGATTTTTGTTTATCTATGGCAACCATCCTGGTGCCCTCAAAATGTTGCTTTCGGCTCAACTACCAAAATTCTCAATTCTGGAATGGTACAATCTGAGTGATATTTACATTTTAAAATGTAAAATTGTATATGAGATTAGAAACAGATTATTTTTTTAAATGACTGGGTAAAGATTTTTTTTGTCTTTAACAGATATTATCCTTTCTTACAGGATGATCAGCATCCAGTTCTGCTCCATAGCTGAGGATCTGATTGGCAAATCTGTCCAGTTCTTGAATAGATCTTGGGAACCATGGCACTAAAAAGCAGAAAAGAAACACCAGTTGTGATTAGTTCCCTGACACTTCATAACAGGGTAAGGAATATTAAGTTACTCCTATTACTTTATTCAATATTCACTTGACCTTTACACTGAAACATAAATAATAGATCATTTACTGTATAACATTGGGTTAAAGAGTGGAACTGCTAGTTTTGTTCAGTAAATTTTGCCCTGGTGGCTGAGAAAGAGCTCAGTGGCTTGCCCAAATAATTGGAAAAAACACAGATGAATATATTGGAGGCCATTTTCTAAGCCACTATTTTTCCAGTTTATATTATGCAAGAAGTAAGCAACTATTGTAAACAAACCAATAAGGCCTGTCTGAATAAAATGATTGGTGTAAAAGAAAGGTGTGAGCATAGAACTCTTACTAATTGGACCACTAAAAAAGATTAAAATATATTGAAATGCATCCATTTTTTTCTCCTTGGCAATGACCTCTTGATAGACTTGTATTCATGTTTTCCATTTCCATTTTTTCATTTTCATTTTCTATTCACGTCTCTCCAAAACTTTAGTTGTATTTCATATACATTACAGAATATTAAAGTGAACAACAGTCTATTTTGCATATATAATATCCATTTTGTGCTGTGCTTTGAATATTTGGTGTGATTACTGAACCAGGATCTTAGGGAGAAACATAAAACATCTCCCTTATCGTCTCTGAGCTGTGTTCATTTTTCACATTGGTCTATTTTATTTCTTTTGATTTGCAGAAATCAGGACTTTCTTATGAGACTTAGTCAGGATTTAAATAAACATTACTGGGTTGTTGTTTTTTGAGCCACTAGATGGCAGCAGTAGCAAATATTATAGCTTTGAGCATATTTGTGCATGAAAATCTCTTTTTAAAGGACATCCAAACTCTTTGGAGAAACAATTGTGCCCTGGAGATTTTTAACAAAATAATTGAAGCAAGACACCCAGTTGGATCCATGTCTGTTATGATCCTCATGCACAGTAACTCTCTCAAATACTGAGGTTTCTCTTATGAAACTGGATGCTTGTAAGACCCACAGTTACATAACTTGAGCCGTTCAGGACCTTGAGAGCTAATTTCTTGACTCAAATTCTACAGATCAAAAAACTTTCTTTCATTTTAAAAATTCTCTTTTACTTATTGCATTCGTGCAATCCTACTCACATTGCTTGGCATGTTATAATTAATAGTGACATAGTAGCATCATATACATGTAAGTAACCAACTTATTGACTAAGGACCTTATTTAGGACTTTGAGGGGGAAAGACCTGCTTAAATTTATGTATCCTAGGAAGAGGCACAAGTTATAAGAAGAGGCTAGATTCCCCCAAAAGAAGTTAAAGGGCATTTTCAGAAAGTTTTAAATTCCTTTGTTTTGCATAACATATTAAATTTAAAGTTGAATAACGTTCAGAACCCTATTGAGAATAAAGAGTATTCAACATTTGGCTACCCTTGCAGATATCACTGGCATGGTTCTCTCAGTAAAAAGCAGTCTGGTTAGTCAGACCAAAAGACTCCAAGCAGCAGCATTGTTTCCTACAACAGACAAAAAAATGCCTACGGAAAGCTCATAACAGCGAGCACAGTATTGTGCTTTGTTATTTATTTCCCAATAACTCTAATTTCAAGGCACTAGCTTATAGACATCCAGGCTGGTAATGATGTTCTAATCCTTCAGGAGCTTGTCCAATCAGAACCAATGTGCAAAAAGTGGGTTGCATATACCTTACAAATATCCTTATTTAGACCTTTCCAATCATTCCTATGCATTAGATAGAATAGAATAGAATAGAATAGAATAGAATAGAATAGAATAGAATAGAATAGAACCTATACCATCTCAAACAGGTGATTGTCTAGACTCTAGTCTCTTCTTAAAAATCTCCAATGATGGAGCGCCCATGATTTCTGGAGGCAAGCTGTTCCACTGGTTGATTGTCCTCACTGTCAGGAAGTTTCTCCTTAATTCCAGGTTGGTTCTCCCTTTGATCAGTTTCCAGTCATTGTTTCTCATCCTTCCCTCTTCCTTGTGGCAGCCCCTCAGATACTGGAATACTAGCTTTTTTGTATTAGCTTTTTTGGTTGCTGTTGGCTCATAGTCAAGTGATCATCCACTAGGACTTGAAGGTCCCTCTCACAGTTATTGTTTTTAAGCCAGGTCTCGTGCAATCTGTACTTGTACCTTTGATTTTTCCCGCCTAAATGTAAAACTGCTTTTCTCCACATTGAAACTCATTTTGTTGGATAGGGTGCATTGTTCAAGTTTGTCAAGATCTTTTTGGATCCTTAGTCGGTCTTCTGGGGTGTTGGCTACTCCTGCCAGTTTAGTGTCATCTGCAAATTTGATGAGTTCCCCTTATATTCCCTCATCTAAGTCATTTATGAAGATGTTGAAGAGTACTGGACCTAAGATGAAACCTAGGACATACAACTCCCCCCTCTTAAATGTTTAGCATTTTAATAATGTTATTTGAATACATTTTTAACCTTTCACTGGAATAGTGTCCTCACCTCCACTGTAGCTGTTTATTTTCATACTTAGCTTTATTATTCTGATTCTACCTTGAAAGTGTATTATAGAAAATGAGGATGTGTATATGTGCATTTATGTGGGTCTGTCCATCAGCTTTCCTCATCCTGATTCTTCCTAGATATGTTAAATTGTAGCTCCTTCATTGTCATTGTACAATAATAAGAACATTTGCTGATTTGGAATGATTGGGTTTAAAGTGCAACATACATGGAAGATGGGAGCCAGTTGGATGTAGTGGTTAATGCAACAGACTAGAAACCAGGGGAGAGGGAGTTCTAGTCCTGCCCTAGACATGAAACCATCGGTGGGCTGGTCATTCCTTAGAAGAAGACAGTGCCAAGCTGCTTCTGAAATGTTATACCAAAAAACCCTGCAGGGACTGTCCACCTACTTGCCATAATTTTGAGTCAAAATTATGAAAGAGATAAAATATAACACCCGCAGGGCAATTTTAATGCATATATATAGGAGCACGAAGCCGAAAACACCAGCCTGAAGATGACAAATGAGACTTCGTTGAAACGTCGCCAAGACACTTCCAATTTGACGCGGGAGAAAACCTGAATAACCAAAGACCTACATACAAACACCTGCGAAAACCTCAGAATATATATATACACACACACATATATATAATGCATACACACACACACACACACACACACACACACACACACATACAGAACTAATCCCAAATTAATTTATATTATTTCATCCCATATAAACATGTGAAGGACTGCTTTTTAGAACATGCTGAGATATTTCTTTTTCTGAGGCTGTTAATGAATGGCCAGCACAAGCAGTTGCCACACTGACACTCCATGGACTTCTGTAGGGCCCACGCAAGTTGTTTAGTAATAAATATTGATTTGTATGCAGGAGGAATAGCAGCATTTTATGGTCCTGCTGGGGACACCCAAGTGGTGACCAATTTGCTAGAGGTCAGATGCTTAATGGGATGCTAATCAGCTATTTATATGAGAGTAAGGAAACCAAAGAGATTCAGAGATTCTCCAGAACTTTGCCCATTTTGGGGAGGGGGTCAATGACAGGACTTCAATATTTATTGCCATTTTCAGCTCAGGTTGGAGCCTTCTTTAAACATGGCCAACTGTTCTGGTCAGCCCCAGGCCCCCAAGCTAACAAGGCTTCTACAGACCCTCAGCTTCCAACTTGTCTCCAAACTGTAATAAATTATTTCTATTTTCTCACTGAAACTGAATCATATTTAATTATTTCGCTCAGGACTCCAAGGAATCTAAGCATACTGAAAGCACTACATTGTGTCTTCATGACAATTCATTTGAACCTTTAGTGCAGTTTGATTATCAATTATACAATTACCCCAGAACCCTGTGATCAAAACCATAATTCACTATAGATATCCTGAAGCTTTTGGGGCCAGTTGCCAAATTTAGGATTTTGAGAAGTTATTATGGGCACTGTTGCAACAAAATGCAGTTAACCTGGCAAACCACAAAAGTCCTTTTCATCAGAGGGTAACTATAATAAATGTAAATAAATAAATATCCCTTTAATGTAGAAGGGTCTGTCTGATGCACAGCTTTCTTCTGTCTTTTTTCAGTCTCTTTATCATTTTAGTTTTCTAAAACTGCCTCTGGGGTTTTGCAGAGCCCCGAAGCTTGTTTAATATCAAAAAACTATTAGATGGGGCAATTCATATTTGAGGTTGGGGCTTTGTTTTGTATTACAGTAAGATAAAATCTCCTTTCTGCTGTTAATGGCTAAATTCTTACAGCACACAGAAGTACTATTCGCTCAGGTCTATCTCAATCTCACTGCAGAGTGTTACACAAACTCAGCCAAAGTGTGAATTTAAGCCTTGACTCAAATGTTAAATGTGGGTATAAGAATTCTGATCATAACAGAGATATAAACTCTAGAGACTTATACTAGAGCCTTCTGATGTATAAACAAATGGTTCTCTTAAAAGCAGGGTGGGTGGGAAAGCCTTCCATGCTGTGTGATTGAGGAAAATGTATCACAAATAAATGTTAACTGCTCTGTGATATTCCTAAGATTAATGATCCTGCTCTTAGTGATGGGCAGGATACCCTATCCATCACTATCAATTTGTCATCAAGACTGTACGTATCTCACCATCTGCCCAGCTATTGTGCAGTTGTTGTGTTACCATCAGAAGCCAATTGGGATAAAGTAGTTCAGACCTGGCTATTTACTGGTATGTGTGTGTGCTTATTGCGTGCTTTTATTTTTTTATAATCTCTTTTGTCCCTTCTCTTTATCAATCATACCAGTTGCACAAATATGTGGTTTTTCTTTTAATTTAGTCTCTGATTATACATTTACGAATGTAGACTGGGGGTGGGGGGGAAGAGATATGTACAAATCTAGTAGAATGTGTTTACAGATACCTATATATACAACAGATCTTTAGATCTGGAAACATATTGATCAGGTTGGCTATAAGCAAATCATTTGAATGGTCTTACTCTGTGGATTTGAAGTTTTTTGTTATGGTACACAAGGCTTAGAAACAGAAAAAATATTCCTTCTGGACTGCCAACCCCACTGCACCTTTTAAAATATATTATTTGTATAAAGCTCAGCTTTGACTGTAATATTACTATGTACTAAATCAGGGCTTTAGACTTCTGTGTAGTCTGGTGATGATCTGTTTATGTATACACAGACATTTGTTAGTATTTCCTAAATACTAATCCTAACCTCCAGGGACTACAAGTGACCTAAGGATGGAGCAGATGGGGTTGGCATACTTTTTGCCTCTTTTTTGTGTTTTCAGACTTCATAGGATAGTTTCCATAAAATCGGAGGCTTAATGCATCTATTTTTCTATATGTGTGTGGGAGGGGGGGCAGGGATTTCAAAAAGTGCAACCATGTATCTGACACAACCCATCCAATAGATCAGGATAACCTATAAAATCAACAAATAAATAAAACTCAATAGTTGGGTAGATTGTGCCACCGTGAGTTCAAGGGCTGCAGAAAAGTGGATCACAGATCCCATGAGATATGGGTAGCATATCCTGTTTTTTTTAAAAAAAATCATTATATCAACCAGCCCACAATGATCCATCTTAACCAGATTTATTTGAACATATAACTAACATGTTTCAATGGTTCTTACTAAGATGAGTTGCATAATTGCCTCCAAGTAGAACCTTCCCCCTTATTTCTTTCCTTCCTTATTCTTTATGGCAGAATTATGATAAAGAGAGAAGAATCAAGATATTCCTTTAGCCTCCAAAAGTAATTAAACTTTCAATTTTAAGTTATTGTGGCTCCCTGACAAGCCATAACATTTTGCCTGTCATGTTCCTTTCCTTTTTTCCCTTTACAATGTCATGGGTAGGACACAAAAGAGAGGATAAGAAGATTATCAGGATTCATTTCAAGAAGATACTATTCCCCTTTCATGTTGCTCCCAGGAAGGAAAAAGACACAGCAGACCTAAAGCATTTTAAACCAATCTTTTCTGAAATCCTATTAGGATCGCACCTGCCATTTGAAGAAACCATGATCAGAAGATTTGGATGAATGTACATGAAACAAATGTTTACTAAACATGTAAGTTCCCCTGACTATATTTTCTTCTAGATTCTATATACTGAATGCAGGTAAGTCATAGATATATAAGTATGTGCATGAATGTAGTCTTGTTCTAATTCTTTGATTTATTCCTATTAGAATTAAGAAGTTATAAAAATCTTTGAATTTTTATGTTATCTTCTTATGAATGTGGCATGAAATAAGTTGTCCAGATAAAATAACTATGCCCAGGCCAATAAAAAAATAAGTATAATTGGAGATAACACTCAGGACAATTGACCTAGTTTGAGGCTATGTCAGTCTTGCTTGCAGTCATTCATGAATCTGTTTTATTTGGTTGCTGTATCAGAAGGCAGGACAGAATGTAATATTTGAATAACTAAAACATTTTTCTAAATAACTCAGCATAATATGCCTTTTAACTTATATTTATATGCAGTATGCACATTTCAGGATATCACAAAGGAATATCACAAAAGATTAAAAGCAAAAATGTGTCCATCATTTCTTTGTTTGAAAAATGTGGATCAGGCTGGCAGACCTTACAAATGCAAGCCAACTGAAATTCTTGAACATCCCTTGGTAAAAAACAGCAAAAGCTCCCTTGTACAAAAATTTGTTAGGTTGAAACCTTTTTTTCTTACCTGCATCCTTCCTCTTTTCACGTGAAAGTTCATGAACATTTGCTCTGATGTCATCTCTCAAGGTCTTGATGATATCTGGAAGGGCAGAAATATTCTTGCTCTCCAAATTAATGAAAAATTCATATTCATCTTTATTCAGCCGGGAAGGTCTGGATTCTATGTGAGTCAAGTTTATCCCCTTTTCCTAAGACAATGAAATAAATAATTTTTTTTTTGCAGGTGGCCTAGAAAGTATCTGACAATGTATTTTCTGTGGTCTGTGAGAGTATAGTGTGTATACTTTATAAGATATTCTAGTTATTTTTAAAAAATAAAAATGTATATTTCTGAACCCCACAGAAAAGAAATTGGTAATTGTGTTATACAAGATTATAGGCATGTATATGCTATTATAATAAAGATTAAGTTGATATTTCTGTAAAACATGAATATAACAAATGTCCTACCTTTCTTCATTGCCAACTACCCTTTTCCCCAAAAGTAAGGCCTACCCTGAAAATAAGCCCTAGCTTGATTTTGGGGATAGGCTTAATATAAGCCCTACCCCAAAAATAAGCCCTAGTTTTGGGGCAAAGTACACACTTAAAAATCAAGCTAGGGGAGGGGTGGGGCGGGTAGATCTGCCCCACACACCCCGCACCCACTTACCTGGTAGCCAGGCCTCTCCTTGCTGGCCCACTTCTTCTGCAGCGTCTTCTGCAGCCAGGCCTGCATTTCGTAGTCAGAGGCCTTTCAATCCATAGCTCGGTTCTGCAAGGCCTCTGCAGCCACGGACCAAGCTATGGATTGAATCCATAGCTCGGTACTCAGCTGCCTAGGCCTTCTGGAAAGGTCTGACTGCAAAATGCAAGCCGGAACGCATCTGCAGAATGAAGCTGCTCTTTTGGCTCCAGAAGAAGTGGACCTGTTGGGTGGGGCTATCGGTGCCAAGGATAAGACATCCCCTGAAAATAAGACCTGGTGCCTCTTTTGGAGGCAAAAAAAAAGTAAGATCCGGGCTTATTTTCAGGGAAACACGGTATTAGACCAGTGGTCATTAATCTCAATGGCTATTTGGTACCATTCAGCTCACAGACATCTTGATTCTCAATAGCAATTGCTAGGGAACATCAATACAAGGTAACTATTGTCTCCATCTTCTGTCAGGGGCTTGTTGTGATCATCACATTGGCCACTGGGAAATAGGATGTTGCATCAGGTGGATCCTTTTATGTTCTCCTATGAAGCATTTTTGAGGAAAGTTTACTTACAGTTACAACCCTTACTGTTCAATCCATTGGAGGCATCAGAAGGCCAGATAACAACCTCCCAAAATGAATACTGTATGGAGACTTACCAAATGCTTACACTCAGATCCTTCCAAGTAATACAGTAGAAGGCTCAAACATGACACAGATATGTGACACAGTTACTATCCCAGTAAACCAAGAATAGTTCCAACCCTCTTGTGCAGTATGAAAGAAGGCAAGTACCTCCATTTCAATAGCTGATTTGAGAAACAATCTTGTTACATATATGATGACTTAATGGCAGGGATGTGTCATTGCAGTTTCTCATTGATTTATTTTTAATTAAAAGAACCTAACAATATTAAAGATCAGGTGGGGCAGGTCTAATAGTTCTCAAAGAAGGTAGACCCAAGGACTATATACTCACTCCATGTCAAAGTTACATTTTCTTTTTTTATATAGTTGTGATCATGAAAAATGTCTATTTGAAAGACAGCTACAAAAATGAATTGAGTATTAGTGATGTGTGGTTTTAAATATCACAAATACATAACAACACCAATATAGGGAGGTAGTTATTTTTTTTCCAGAGCTGAATATTTAATATATTCAAGAGCAGGGTGTTAATGGCAGAGAGAGAAATTCAAAAGGACCATTTGCTCAGAAACAATGTACACTACTGGATCTGTCTTTTCTGAAGTTTTAAGTAATGAGCAACAAAGATGGGCTAAACTGTTTGGCCAGATACCAACACAACAAGTTGAAAAGGTCAGAAGTGCATTCAAATCCCCTGGCACAGGAAAGAGATCGTCCTAACAGGGATAGCCTCCATGCAAAGACCTCTATTAACCAAGCTGAGCCCTGAGGTCAAGTTGTTTTAGCTCTCTAAAGATCTGCACTGGTCACAGACAATGCTTTGTATTTGCTATTTAATTAGGTGCTCACAAATCATTAGAGGGCTCCAGAGCTAGGGAAGGGTGAAGTTTAAATTACTCCATGTAAGATTTATTATGATCAAGACCAGACCCTAAAACTCACAGTCTGCTCTAAGCAAGAATGCTACAGTTGGCTCTAAACAGGAATATTATGTTTAATTATAATTCCAATTTACCATAATTCAAATAATTCCATCATTGGAATTAAGATTTGGGATTTATAGTGAAATAGCAAGGTTCTTTCTTTCAAGAAGTTGTGGTATTTCATGAAATTAATGAACTGAACAGAGAACACTAGATGGAAATGTGAAACTTTATCTTCATCTCTACTCTTCTTCCATTGCCCTTTTGAGCTCGAGAAAGGTTGCTGTATCCACCATTTTTTTTTAATAATTGGCAGAAGCCAATGATCAAGGGGTCCTGAAAGATGACAAGTGATTAATCCCTCTAATTCTATACAGCATAACAGATACATGCTTAATTATTATTAAAGACATACTAGGGAACAAGGACGCCTGCATCTTGAAATCTATACTTACCTAGTCATATACTGTAATCTGAAGATAGGCTGCAGAAACAACACAACACAATTCCTACCAGCTACATCTATGGTTTCTTTAGTTGTGTTCTGGTGTGGTGGATCAGATGGGAAAGGTGAAAGGTGAATTCAAAGAAATAGTGGGAAATATAAATAGATAGCCAGATCCTTTCATTTTTTTAAAGGAGCCAGATGGGGGGAAAAAAAAAACTCCTGAAAGCATCAACCAGTCAATTATCTGCATTACAGAGCACTGTGGATCAAGGATCTAAGCTGATAAGAGTCAGCTTCCTATCTTCATTTTTTTTATTATTTATTATTATTTTTTTTTTTGCCTTTGTGTGACAACAAAGTTAGGATTGCAATATGAGTATCTCTCATTTTGACCAGCAACTAAAGGATAGTTGTCTCGAAAGAAGAGAATATTTATAGCTCAGGACTGAACTGCTGGGTCCTTAGCACTCTCTGAGCTTGACTGTTATCTTGAAGATGTTTCATTACTAAACTACGTAACAACATCAGTGATAGTAGGGAGTACGGTTTGCTCTCATTTTATATATTAGTGGCTTAACCTAGCAGTGTTGATGGGAGTGATCTTAGTGGTGCCTTGATTGGTCTGTTTATTGTTAGCTTGTTTGAGTAGACAAACAAGCTAACAATAACACTCAGACATTCAAAACACTCAGACAAACTAGCTAACAGTAACGCTCAGACATTCAAAATACTCAGACAAACTAGCTAACAGTAAACAACAGACCAATCAAGGAACCACCAAGACCACTCCCATCAACACTGATACTAGTATATAAAATGAGAACAAACCATACTCCCCACTACCACTGATGATGTTGCCCGGATTGATAATGAAACTTCTACAAGAAAACAACCAAGCTCACAGAGCACCAAGGATCCTGCAAGATAGTTGATTTGAAATTTTAAGCCTAGATTCCATGCTAAATTTTCCCATTTATTCACTCTCCCCATAAAGAAAAAAAATGAAAGAGCTTCAAGCACAATCCCAAAATCCCATTCATCTGTCATGGTGTGGAAGGAGATAGAATTTTATGATCACTTCCACTAATTTCTATTACACTGTTTATATGTTTTATCAGTTTATGTTGTATATTTAGGTCCCCTTAAAGCCATGAAAAGAGTTTGTGCAGCTGGTATCAAGCTCTAAGCATTTCTCACTTTCATATATTTTTGCAAATTTTTATTCTCTTATCAGGGAATCAAGTGGTGACTTTGAGGTGTACCTAATTTGTTTACAATATCAATCTTTACTGGTAAAGCGTGGATGATCAGCAAGATAAACAAATATATTTACTTTTGTATGTTGATATAATATTTTCTTCCACTATGCTTGTCAGCTCCTACCCCTGTGAATTCAATAAATATCAAGTTCTGGAAAAAACATAAATATTAAATTATTTTCTTATCAAATTATCTGTGCCGATTTCATAATATTTGAGCCTATGTAGAAAAAAGGATCAGATTTGTTTTTTCAAATGCAGATATATTAACTAAATTGAACTGTAAAAAATTGCTGTGATATTAGAGTATGTAAATTCAGCAGATATGTAATACCTTTCTTTTTAAAATTTTAATTTTTTAAAATAAACATCCTAACCATTCCTTTGTTTCCCCTTGTGGAAAATTCTGCATTATGTTTGAACGTACATATATTTTTGCATTTCTCACAGCAGAGGAACAGATGGTTAATTTTTAACTGCTTCAAACAAACACATTTGATCTTGGAGTTGCTCTGAATTCATGTACAAACATCACTCCCCCATGAAAAAGCTCAGCACATGATCATCACTTCCTCTGTTGCTAAATTATGTTGCAAACATGAGTATTTCAGCTAAAGTAAACATTGCTGAGTTCATCCAAAATGCTGACAGATAGTTACAGCTTTGATACTTATGTAATGAACCTGGAAGGGGAGAAAGGGCAGCCATCTTTCTTAAATGTCCCCTAACTTGCTGCATGTTTTTATAACAGGGGTGCAAAAAAACATCTCCCCCAGAGACCCCCTTCAGAATCAGTGGCTCATTTTGCATTTTTGGAAACACATCAGAAGAAAAACAAGTATGTTGGACAAAGCCTTAAATTAAAAACATTTATCCCATATCAAGAATAAGAACTCCCTTTTTCTGTTGAGGATGCAAATAATCTAGGAAAGGCTTCTTGCTGGTGGTAAGTGGGGCCAAAGCCAGTGATGGGTTTTGGCTGGGTCCAAAGTGGGAGATACTATCCTTTTTTCTTGACTTTTTCTTTCCACCTTTTTGTCTGTTCTTTCTCCCTGCCAGTGGTCTAAGCAATCATTTTTACTTGAGGATTTAAATGGCAGGATGAAGACAGTATTTAAAAATAACTGAGGGAAACTCTATACCATTTCAGACAAATGGCTGTCCAGTCTCTTCTTAAAACCTTCTAGTGTTGGAGCATTCACAACTTCTGGAGGCAGGTTGTTCCACTG